AACAAAGGCATACCTGAGCTTGTAAAATACTTGAAAGGCCACACAAAAAGTATCTATGCCAAACTCAGCCTGTAAGTTTATGACCAAATGAAGTATCATGTGGAAAGCATCATAATGAAAGCTGCAACTTCTCCTTTCAGTACCTGTGGCATCCTCATGATGTTACTGGAGGGGTATATCTCATGGAATACTTAGGTTGCTGGTGGATATAGTATATGAGACTTATCTAAGATGCTTGAAACAAGTAAACTTGAGATTCTGTAGCAGACCACAATGTAGCGTCCACCAGTCTCGAGCACGACCTGCTAGGTGTGAGTACCGGATTTGGAAAGCGATCAAAGATCGCATCATTTCTAGGTACCAGAAGCAACCTGTGACCGTTACATTCCGGCGCTTGTGGGGCGCTTAAGCCAGGGGGGGGTGCGCCTATCTAACTGCCCCAGACCCCCTTTTCGCGGTGGTGGGGTGCGGATACGGGGGGATGGGTACGAGACAAGTGCGACTGTCGTTTAGTCGCATGATGCCAGTCGAAACGACTACAAACGACGACGACTGTTCCCACAGTGGCAACTATTCCCACGACCATTCAGCCACACCTGAGGGAGATTTGGCCACAAAATAATGTACACAACAGGATGTGATGGTAGCAAGATATGTAAAAGAAAATACATGTATATTCTATTAGCAGGACTCAGCACTCAGTCAATACTATCTTCTGCATCGAAGATGAGAAGTCAAGAAGCTCATACAACTCAACTTCATCCTGCAAATATGTCCAAGCCTCTTTTCCATCCTTGCGGCATCTTGAAGTCGAATAGATCTCTCAATGACAGAGAGAGGCAGCCAAGTAAAGTCATTGGGCCCCTCATCCACGCCTTGATCCGGTGCCTCATTGGGACTCTTCGGGCGCCTGCGTACCAGAATTGCGCACGTGAATATCGGGCCGTGTCTGCTCAGGCCGTGGGAAAAGTCGCCGCGACTTTTCGACTGTCGTACAGTCGTCGATTAATCGCCCCAGTCGTGGGAACGACTGGGACGACTGGCAGACAACTGGCCCAACACTGATTGGGAGCCCTTTTTTGTCCTAAATCCCGTGCCATCGGGTGGCTCTCTGTGCCTGTGCTCTTAACCTCTGCCATCGATGTTGACTCGCCTCTGTCGTTGTTGTCGAACAGAACACAGCATCTTCTCACCTCTCGTTCATAGCTAACATACCCCTTTCTCACTGCGTCGTGGATCCGCTACGCACGATTACTCGCTACATCTACATTGTTTGCTATACATCGACGCCCACCTCTCCCTAACCGGCCACGCTCAGAAACTGGTGTCCATGGGCTCAGGTGCGTCGTCGTTCATCTGCGCCATTCCAAAATCCAGCTGAAGCATATTCTCTGTCATCAGGTCCATCAAGGTGTCCCCCGACAGCATGGTCTGGCCAGCAGCCTATGCAACATAGGTCAACACCTTGACAAGTCTCTCTACCACCAATGGAAGGACATACATCTGGCGTCACGCCTGCCATCGCCCGCTCAAACCAGCACGACGCAAATCCTTCCTTTGCTGCATCTGCCGCTAGACTATATTCATGTGAAGGAAGGCCGACGATGTTCATGATGGCTGTACATGGGGCAAGCACCGCGTCGATGTTACCTTTGGCTGCCTGGATTGTGTGTTGGTGAGTGCCCAGGATTATACGGTATCATGGTTGGACGTAGCTTACTGTGCAACCGTCGTTCGTCGTATTATCTTGGGGACTCCAGTCCATGGAGCCATCGCATTCGAAGGTGCCGATGTTGTCGACCTGCATTGGCTCAGGTCGCGCTTCGTGAGCGCCGTCCCAATCGACGACCATTGGTTCTGTCGTATCCATGAAATCGGCACTGTGGTTGGATGTTGAGATTGGGATTGGCAAAACAGTTATTGTGATGAAGGTGTGTCATGAACAAGTGTGTCTGGGTATGCGATTGACTCGGCGGAGACAGTTCAGAGTCGAGTGTGGGGGTTGCGGCTGGTGCCTAAATGGCTGCCTCGTGCCCTGCTCACCATTGTCGCTGTTTCCCGAACCCACGCGTGGGCAGAGACACAATGCAGCCCCTCGTGAGAGATCATCGGATGAATCGTCACGAATGTCCGTAATCCGAGCTGCTACGGTCTGCGATCTCTCGCTGTATTCGATTCGTGCAGAATTTGTCATTGCGATGTGGGTGTCGCTGGACTTCTCATGGTGTCAAGGACTGTCGCTGGATAGTCGGCTGCAAGAATGGTCCATCGGGCGTCGACGGCCATGCAGCGAGGACAAAATCACTTCTACTCCTGGCTACGACCTACACGTGTTAATGGAGTGCGGGCTGCCAATGCGATGCTGGTCACACTCGTGACGCTACCACTGGTGTACCTTCCGACATCTCGGCGTCCTGCCTCGCCTTGTCCTGAGCTACTCTTCACTCAACTCTAGAGGTCCGCGCCTGGACTCGCATCCGATTGAGCATTTTGAGATGTTCGAAGGTGGAAATGGTACTCCCTCGATTTACCATCTGGCCACTTTAAGGTCTCCGCGACTCCAACAACCTCCACAATACCTCGCGGATGTACAGCTGTGTGGACAGTTCGTCTTGCATGGAATCGCTCTTTCAGAGGACGCATCTCTTCACACCGAGCATACTTGGAATATGCGACTCGTTTGACTAGGTTCATGTGAAGGTTGTTAGATGTTTTGACCGATAGCTGTGCATGATCTCGTCCCCCTTCAATCTTATCCTTGTTTGTAGCGTATTACTCCGCAAATGATCACCGTTCAAACAAGAAGCGACACCCATCAGATGGACGGCTTTATAGGTTGCAGTAAGCGTTCTACGGCATAAATACGCCAGTAACTCATCGTGTGCGCGTAAAGCCTCATGACGGTACACCCACATACATAAAGAACTCGTCTATGCCGCCATCCTGAAGCTAATAAATGCAATGATCACCATGAACTAAGTGACATCGCTCCCTTCCGTTCTAGTTGTGCGCACGATATTTCGGCAATGGATCACGGGAAAGTAGCTCGCCCAGTGCTAACGGTGAGGACGCGTCAGATGATATGGCGTCTGAGGCAAAGGCATAGACTACTGAAAGGACAACGTTTGAGGACCCTCAGACCATCGCGAGCACAGGGGGGCTTTTAGAACCATCGGGCCCTGGCCTCACCCCCAAGGAGGTGGTCGAACGTGGTCATGGGGTACCTGCATACGAGGCTTCCTGACTATCTAGTGTCATGCCAGGAACGACAGGTCAGATGCATGGGGACCGAGGACGGCCGCAATCTCGGACAAAATCTCGGACATTAGGAAAAGTCATCTTCCGGTTCGTCGATGTACTCCCATCTCGCTGTCAAGGTTCCACTGCGTCCACCTCGTCTATAGCTGTTGCATCATCTACCGAAGGCGACCTGGCGATATCGCATCAAACCGAACAGCAACGACACGAGCTATCCGTTTGTTCATTGGGGACCACCAGTCCACTCACGATAGCAGGCGCACGACCTTATGACTTGCGCCTAAATGACGTCGTCGGTTGAGATACGCGCGCGTAAAAGTACCGTACCAAGAGAGCCCAAGACATCGGGAACGACCCTTACATTGCCCCCGCTGACGCAGCTGGAGCGGGAAATATGTTGTCAACCTTCGAACGCAATGCCGCAGAGCACTCACGCGCCGGGTAAACCGGATAGCCCAGGCACATAGGTTAATCCAAGCAAGGAGCGAGATGCGATTGCAACGAATGTCGGAGCACTTAACAGCACAGACAAATTAAAGGAACGCTAACTAAGCACAGGAGAGAACAACAACAGAAAGCAGCCACCGCGACACGTACGTAAGGGTGTATGTATTCGTCCGTGGGCAAGTCCGCAGTGAATGATGCAGCTAGTAAATGGTAACAGATGTCCGTATGGCGCGCGACCATAGCATATTCATCGTCCTGCGTCATCCTCCCAGAGGGTGCCAGCGCAGTACGGTCGTCTTTTCAGCATCGTGACGGAGCAAGGACAGATAAACGGCGTCTAGAACACGACCGCCATCGCGCCGCCTACCAGGCCGAGCAGCACGCTCGAGAACAGCGCGACCGGCGGCACCTGAATCGCGATCGCCGCACCGCTCTTGCCGTCCGAGCTTCCGCTCGCCTGGCCCGTGCTTGTCACCAGCGGTTTCGTCGTCGCACCCGCCACCGTCGTCGTCGCGCTGGGAATGCCCGTGCTGCTCGCGAACGCGTCTTTCTGGATGCACGCGCTCGTCGCGCTCGCGGCTGCGGCCGAGTTCGTCACGCCCGACACCGACGTCGTCGTCGCGAACGACCACTGGCACGCCGTCGCCGCGCGGCCCTGCGCGTTGTAGTACACGTCCATCGCGATGTTCAGCTGCTGCAGCGGGTTGCACATGGACAGGTCGCCGTACGTGCCCGTCGTGCCGTTGCCCGAGATGCTGGCGCACGCCGAGGCGGACGTCCCGCAGATCTCACCGATTGCCGTGCCGATGGCGTCGTCGCCGAGCGAGTATGTGGATATGCACGTGAGCGAGCTCGCCACGCAGTCGCACTCGCCCGAGTTGGGCGTCGGCGGGAGCGCAGTCGCGACCGGCCAGCTCGCGTTGGATTGCGGGCACGATACAGGGAGCGAGACTGAGGGCGTGTACGAGGATATCGCAAGCGACGAGCCTGTCGCGGTTGTGTATTGCGACTTGAGGTTGTTGAAGTCCGTCAGAGTCGCCACGGAGCTGCCGTCCGACGAGATATTCACGAGACCGTAGTTGTTGCCCTGCTCGACGTATTCGTAGATGATACCGCCCGACCAGACATCGCTCATGTCGGAGCTGTACAGTACAGGGACATCCTGGAACGTGCGTGGCTCAACGGCATTGCAACCGTACTCGGAGAAGAATGCGGGAACGCCAAGGTTCTGGAGCTCCTCTGTGCGCGCTTGGTAGCCGGACACCGTGAATGAGCTATTGCCACACCATTCGTAGATGTTGAGGCCCCAGTAGTCGAAAATGGATGACGTGTCCTCGTCGCACGCGAGATAGTATGGGAGCGCAACACGTGAGTTTGGCGAGTCTGTCGCGGTGTACCCAACAAGTTGACTGTAGTTGTGGGCTCCCATATACGATTTAATATCGCGCACCGCAGCCTTGATGTACGGCGCTGCGTCGTCGTTCGGAAGAGAACTTATCTATTGTGGCATGATTAGCATACCATATTCAATGAGCCAAATTCGATGGATAGAAACATATGTAGCCAGGAAGAGAGATTTTAAAAACCGAAGTCCGGTATGCAAACGTCGTAATGAATTTACCTACGACCCTCAGCAATATAAAATAAATGAGGCTCTGTCAAAGACAAGGTTGTTGTATAGTTCCCAAGACGTCCTTGTTCAGGATTATGATCATCGGACGTCCAGCATCACTTCCGCAGAGCGAACTTGACTCGCAAGCCAAGAACGAAGTGAAGTGATGGCCTATTACGACATGATAGCGACAGCGAACATTCACCGGTGAACAGCAAGTGCCATGCCGAGTAATCATCTTAACTGCCAACACTGCCAAAAAGCAAACGAGGCCAATATTCGCAGCGAGGCCGCGTAGAGTAAAGGATTGAACTCGTACGGCGATTATATCCCGCAACCCTAGTTGCATATTGCATGACATGATGCAGTTTGGGGTCTCGGCGTGACGTCAATCAAAACGAAGGCGATGTAGCCGACGACAGCTCCACGACATGCCTTGTCCACCGCATGGCCCGAAGCCGTCGCGGTCCCGAGTCCCTCGCGAACACCAAGGGTGAAACTGTCGATTTCATGTCCGGGAAGAAATAGGCCAACGGCGCTCCCTCCGAAAGTGTGGGGACGCATCTGGGCCCCGAGACAAAAATAGCCAGCCAAAAATAGACACTCACAACTTCGTTACCAATTGTGAAACCAAAGACGTTTTCATAACTACCGAAGGCCTCGACGGTGTTGATGAAGTCCGTCAGGAGCTCTACATTCCAGGATGGTGAAGTACTGCTGAGGGCGGCGTACGGGGTGGCAAGGTCGATGGCGACGTAGATGCCGGCGGAGTTGAGCGCCTCCATACAGGTGCTATGATCGAGGGATGAGTTGACCTGGTATACGCGGAGGATGTTGACGTCGAGTTGCTTGAAGTAAGGAATGTCGCGCGTGCAGCCGGCGCCATTGGCGAGGGGGTCAAGCTTGCTGACTTGGCCGCTCTCCTCGACCGAGGTGGATTGGCCGGAACCGTAATTACCTGGGATGGGTCAGCGGCTGCATTGGGGCGGCAATGATGAAACCTTGTTATATCGCATGGCTTCTGAACGGAAAAATGAACGAGCTTCGCTCGCACCCCCCGCGAGCACCTCTGCTCCGCTTAGCCTTCCCCGCGCCGCGAGATTGCGCAGTGAAAAGCCGTGCGACATGACGAAGCACATAAAGAAATAGGACTTACTAGCATAGGCAAGGCCCTTAAGATAAAAACGTTCGCCGGTGGTACTGTCGAAAAGGAAGCTGCCCTTCTTGACGATGGGGGCGAGAGCCGTGGCGTATGGGACGCAGACGGCTGCCGCAAGGGCAAGGAGGGGGGCGAACATGGTCGTAGTGGCTGCGGGTAGAGGCGGTCAGTCGCCCCCGGGCAGTGCCTTTATGAACGCGGGGAATCTTCCGGGCGCCCGCAGGCGCTCGTCATGCTCTTCGCTAAATCAGGCATCTTCCATCAATATTGGCAAGCGCCCGTGCTACTCGCCTCAGTCCCCCGAGGTTTGATTCCGCGCTGGGAACACGCACGGCCGCAGCGACGCTGTGTACCCAAAATAGCGCAGAAACTGTATTATACAGTCTCTATGTCTACCGCGAGCACTAACCTGCATGGCCGGCACTTGTTGTCAACGTTCCCTCTGGCGGCTGCGGTGGAGCTCTCTTAAAATAGGTGAGAACATAGCGCTGCCCCGTCTCCTGGCATCATCAAGCATGTCCTAGCCGCGGCCGTCGCCAACCCCCAAGGTGCCCGCCGCAAGAAACCAATGCACGATACGCGATGGAGCGTGCGCACGAACCCCCTGATCGGCCAGAAATCGCCGTGGACTTCAGCCTGCACCGGCCCCTGCTAGGCCCCGCGTCCGACTAGTCTCTCCGGAGCAGCCGGCCTTTGAACGAAATATACCAATGGTTCAATATTGGCAGATTCGACGCTGCTCCACTGCGCAGTCGCTTCCCGGACATACATACGTGCACACGAGCCGGGCTTTCCGAGGAAGACGACGTTGCTCAGGACTCCAGTGAGAACGACAGCCGACCATATCGCGCACATGCGAGCGCGATCACGTTGGGGTCGTCCTACATTCCCTCTAATACCGTCGGAAAATCCGCGACAGATGAAGAGCCTCCGTGTCGAGAACATGGCCTAGTGTGCGCTTCTTGTTCCGACTGTCTGGCCGGGCTCGTGGCAGACCACTGAGCGCCTTGGGACTAGATCGCGGTGGAACGCGCCGAAGATCGCGGTTGTTGAGGTTACAGTGTCTTCATCTCGCCACGCCGATCGCTCGGTGCGCGAGTCCTAGGCATCATACATCCATGGCTTCTGCACGGTGCACGCCCGCTATTCAGAAATCTACATCTTCGATTTGCAGCGAGTCGATGATGAACGTTGAACTGGGGCAAGATAAGCACGAGGCCCACAGTTACCACCCAATGATTGGCCGGTTGATATCGCGGTCACGTGAGCTGGTGAGGTTGGACGCGTCGACTTGTTCGTTCGGACGTGCACGCGGTCTTTCTCGCCGCAGTGCTCACATCGCGCTCATTCTTTCATGTTTTTGTCCATATGGAGGGAATTATATACCGTTCATACTTGAGACGTCCACAGGAAGACATTACATTCCTCGCAAAGAAGTTGATAGCATCCACTGCGCGAGGCTACTCGAGGATGAGGCCCTAAGAAAATGGCTGCCAAATTCGTTACAAGTCACTGTGAATGATTTTCGGAAGCTCGTGGGCGGAACTGAACTGTCGTCCGATGTACATTGTAGAAGAGAGGGTGGCCGGTATCAATGTGTTCCAGGGGAAACAAAGCAAGACAAGAGCAGGAGACATGTTATCGATTTGTAATGTATTCTGCGCGGAGGAAGAGTGCTACCTACAAATTCCTTCGGACACGCCAGGGCCGGAGGGAGAGCGCTTGTGAGCTCTAGGCTAAGGGCCTTGCCCTTGCTTGGTGTCGACTTCAAGAGCGCTTGGGGGCTTATCGGTGTTTCCGTCCAATCTCCCAACAAATGGGAACACCGCTATAACGGCTCGAACACCACAAGCTTCTCGGCCACAGACACGAGAGCGGTCATATCAAGGGGCTAGATCATCGAGTGCACGACATAAATGATGAACCTCGAGCATAGTCTGTTCTGGTTCATGATCGTTTTCGTCTGCTGTCACGCGCGATGGGACAGACATTTGGTATCTAAGCCACTCCACTTCGTCGACGATGCGGGGTACACTGTCCATCTCTTTCTGTGCAAACACGGAACGGTGAGGGAAAGGGTGCAACCCAACGGCTGTATATGCGCGAAAAATCTGGATCGGTAACATGAAGGCGGAGCGAGATGAGTTTATGGAAGATGCGACAACTTTGTCGCCGCACCACCATCAAAAATGCTTCCCGGAGATGGAGGGCAATCTGCCGACTTACGTGCTTACGATAGAGTGTATACAACAACCTTCACGTTGATCCAGGTCAAAACGAGTCGCATATTCCAAGTATGTTCGCTGTGACGAGTGAAATGCGCCATCTGAAAAAGCGACTCAACGCAAGACACTGCTGACTCGCACGCTGTCCACACATCTGTACATCCGAGAGGTATTGTCGAGTCTGTTGGATTCGCGGAGACCTCATAGTGACCAGATGGCAACTTGAGGGAATGCCACTTCCGCCGTCAAGCATGTCAGAAAGTTCTGTCGGGAGCGAGTCCAATCCAGGCGCAGATCACTAGAGCCGAGTGAAGAGTAACCCAGGGCAAGGCGAGTCAGGATGAAGACGAGTCGAAAGGTACACCAGTGGTAGCGTCACGAGTGTGACCAGCATCGCATTGGCAGCCCGCACTCCATTAACACGTGTAGGTCGTAGCCAGGAGTAGAAGTTATTTTGTCCTCGCTGCATGGCCGTCGACGCCCGATGGACCATTCTTGCAACCGACTATCCAGCGACAGTCCTTGACGCAATGAAAAGTCCAGCGACACCCACGTCGCAACGACAGATCCTGCACGAATTCGAATATAGCTGGAGATCGCAGACCGTAGCAGTTCGAATGACGGACATTCGTGACGATTCATCCGATGATCTCTCACGAGGGGCTGCATTGTGTCTCTGCCCACGCGTGGGTTCGGGAAACCGCGACAATGGCGAGCGGGGCACGAGGCAGCCAATTAGGCGCCAGCCGCAACCCCCACACTCGACTCTGAACTGTCTCCGCCGAGTCAATCGCATACCCAGACACACTTGTTGATGACACACCTTCATCACAATAACTGTTTTGCCAATCCCAATCTCAACATCCAACCACAGTGCCGATTTCATGGATACGACAGAACCAATGGTCGTCGATTGGGACGGCGCTCACGAAGCGCACCCTGAGCCAATGCAGGTCGACAACATTGGCACCTTCGAATGCGACGGCTCCATGGACTGGAGTCCCCAAGATTATACGGCAGATGATGGTTGCACTGTAAGCGACATCCAACCATGATACCGTATAATCCTGGGCACTCACCAACACACAATCCAGGCAGCCAAATCTAACATCGACGCGGTGCTTGCCCCATGCGCGGCCATCATGAACATCGTCGGCCTTCCTTCACATGAATATAGTCTAGCGGCAGATGCAGCAAAGGAAGGATTTGAGTCGTGGTGGTTTGAGCGGGCGATGGCAGGCGTGACGCCAGATGTATGTCCTTCCATTGGTGGTAGAGAGACTTGTCAAGGTGTTGACCTATGTTGCATAGGCTGCTGGTCAGACCATGCTGTTGGGGAACACCTTGATGGACCTGATGACAGAGAATATGCTTCAGCTGGATTTTGGAATGGCGCAGATGAACGACGACGCACCTGAGCCCATGGACACCAGTTCTTGAGCGTGGCCGCCTAGAGAGAGGTGGGCGTCGATGTATAGCGGACAATGTAAATGTATCCAGTAATCGTGTGTAGTGGGTACACGACGCAGTGAGAAAGGGGTATGTTAGCTATGAACGAGAGGTGAGAAGATGCTGTGTTCTGTTCGACAACAACGACAGAGGCGAGTCAACATCGATGGCAGAGGATAAGAGCGCAGGCGCAGAGAGCCACCCGATGGCACGAGATTTAGGACAAAAGAGGATTTCCCAATGTGAAAAAGTGGCAAAAGCGGTGGCGAGTGGCTGACGATCGGCCGATTCGAGGCGCTCGATCCTTCTCCTTCCAGTCGATCAGCCTCGTCAGACCTCATCGCCCAACTGAGACGACTATTTGAGTGAATTCTCGAGCGATAAATAAGTTGTGTCCTGCTCGAGTTGCCACAGTGACTTCGAGATCATCAGACTCAGGATAGAGTAGGCCACAACCTTTGGATGGTGCTAGCCCCCTTCATCTTCGAACACGCAGATATTGTTACGTCTTTGTAACATTGCAGACTGAGGACAACGGTGGTTCTGTGGGACGAGCCGTGCATACGCGGATTCCCGTCTATGAATGTCAAGAGTTCTTTCCGCCAATACACACGACGGGCCGGTCCTGAGAATATACACCTCATGATGTGCGCATGACCACGCCCACCAACTTCCTCGGGGTCGACGTATACACATAAAGCGTGAGGACAGACATAGGTCGGTACAGGTCACCATCTGTCTACAGCTTTGCAGACCACATCGTCATGTTCTCATACTGTCTCCTTGCTAGCATATGTTTCGCCTATATTGCGCACGGGGTGCACGCATTGCCGTCCTACTCTAACAATGCGTCTGGCCCATCGGGTCCGATGGTTGATGTGGGATATGCAGCATTCCTGGGCAACGATTCTATCCCTGGGTTTCCCGGAATTGAGTTCTTTGGCGGTATACGCTACGTGCAGCCGCCGCTCGGTGAGCTGCGGTTCCGTGCCCCACAACGGCTCGATGAGACTGTGGGTCCGCATAATGTGACGGATGCCCGGGATTGGGGCGACATATGCATGCAAGAGCCCGCACAGGTTGGGTTCGGGTCGGAAGGTCTGTGGACTTGAAATTCGGTCTGCGACAGCCAGAGCTGAGCTTGCGTCGGTATTTGCAGACTGTCTGACCCTTAATGTGTGGAGATCAGCCGGGACACAAGCAGGTGATAATGTTCCTGTGGCTCTGTACATCCATGTACGCAATTGCATGTCTGCGCAAGGCGGCAGAGCTCACATGACGTCATGTAGGGCGGAGGGAACTATGCGAATGCATGTAGTGCGCTCACGTGAGGTCTGAGACTGGGCTAACATATGGATACTCGCAGAGCGCACAGGGCTTTCCGATGAGCAGCTGGGTGAATGAGACAGGCGGCGCGATGATGGGCGTCAATATCCAGTACCGGCTAGGGATGTTTGGGTTTCTTGCGTCGGCGGCCGTGCAAGAGGACGGGGACATGAATGCTGGTCTGCTTGATCAGCGTGCAGCGTTCGATTGGGTGAGACGGTATGTGGGATTATCGTCGAGGATGGCGATCGTAAGGCATGGCTGACTGTTCGTGGCAGACACATCTCGAGGTTCGGCGGGGACCCCGGCAGGATAACTGTCAGTGGACAGAGCGCGGTACGTCTTATTATTTTCTGTATTTGTTGCACCATGTACTGACCAACCGTGCAGGGCTCTGCAGACATAGTGCATCAGATGGTGTCGTACGGAGGGCAAGGCGAGCCACCATTTCAGGCTGCAGTAAGCATGACGGATTTGTATACTGGTGCATGAATGACTGGTGTTGATTATGCGACGACCAGATTGCTCAGAGTATCGGGATGGACCCGCTTCCAATCGCTGAAGAATACGAGGTGAGTCCACAAGGACGAGGCGCTCGTTGGTCGACTCATGGGCTGCATTAAGCACTGCTTCGCGAATGTCAGTGCGTCCGTCGGATGCCTCTCTCCGACGAACACGTCACAGTCCATCATGGGCTGCCTTCGCGCGGCACCGCTATCCGCTCTCGTTACGGCAATCAACAGCAGACCATCGAGCTGCGGCTTCCTGCCCGTCGTCGATGGGACGATACTGCCTGCGCTTCCGTCACAGCTGATTGCGACAGGCAGGTTCCATAGGATGCCGTTCGTCGGTGGGCATGTCACAGACGACGGGTCGATCTTCGTCGGTGATCCCGCGAACTTTGTGAACACGACGGATGGATTCGTCGCGTCCATCATGAAGCGATATACATTGCTGGTGCGCCTACGTGCTTCCCAATTAGCTACGCTACGCTCATCATGACGATACCTGCAGTCCAACACCACCATTGCGCGGATGATCGAACTGTATCCGTTGAGCGACTTTCCGTCGCAATGGGAGCGGGCGAAGAGGGCGTTCGGAGACACGGTGTTCACGTGCATGTCAGTAGCGTTTCGCAGTTGCCTCGCGACTCGCATGATAGCCAATTGGCGTTCGACAGGGACTGGATCATCGCGCAGAAGCTGATGTCCGAGGGTAGAACGGACGCGTACAACTACCGGTTCAACACTCCAGATCCGGTGCAGCTTGCGGCGAACCCATGGGAAGGTGTGATGCACACGTCGGAGCTGTTCTTCCTGTTCCAGGGTGCGTCGTTGTCCGTGTTCCCTCTGTGTGCAGTCCGCGTCTGATGGGTGTGCATGTCGTCCAGGGACAAAGTGAGTTCTTGCATGAAGCCTGTTGTCCGTGTCCCATAACAAGTCGCGAATAGTTCTGGTCCCTCGCCGACGACTCCTATAGCGCTGTTTGCGCCATTCAACGCGTCGGAGAAGGTGCTTGCGACGGAGACGATAGGGTACTGGACGAGCTTCTCTCGTGCGTTCAGTCCTAACACATTCAAGCCGCTTGGATCGTCGCCGGAGTGGCTCACGGCAGACAGTGGACGGCTTGTGATAGAGGAGGGCGGCGTGAATGGGACTGGTTCGTACATGGAGGAGAGGTCCCAAGCATACGAGGAGAGATGTGCATTCTGGATGGAAGTTGGCACAGAGACGAGGGTGTAAGCATGGGTGGGATGTGATGAATACACTGAGACTCTGTGTGGTTGAGAGTACGAGACATGGTTGCACGGAGAGTTCAGCGTTCAGTGCTGAATGACAAGCGTCATGACCGTGATGTGTCCATGTCGCCTTTTCATTCATAACTTTATTACCAGTAGTATACAGCTCTGGGTCGTATACGATGGACTGCATAATCTGCTCTGCAGATATGCGAGGATGTGTCAAGGATGCGTACATGGCACAGACACTTTGATGCAGTTGCGCAAATAATGGATAGTAGAGACGGCTTCAAAGAGGGGTTATGCCAAAATCATGCAAATCTCGCACGGCACGCTGTCCCGCACACCATGATGCTGTTGTATATGTAGCATCATGTGTGATCGCATTAGTTCGAAGCTGCATATTATCCGGACAGTCTGCTAGCCTCACCAACATAACTTTCAGACGTCAGGATTCGAGCACCAAGTAAACAATTAACTCATGGATAACGCAGGAATTTCGAAGAATACAAGAACAAAGTGATAAAGCGGTTCGTCCGTAATCTAGCGCAATAGAGATAGATTTGCAGAAATCCGCGGCGAGCCTGCCAGTTATATCAACCAGCAGTAGAGTGTCCGAATGAATTCAATATCTTTAGTATGAGCCCGTCCGCCGAACGATGCTCATGCCTCGTGTCGACGTTCCATGATTGTCCACTCACATCGCTTGATAGACACTACAGCCTTGTCTTCAGCCATCTTGATGACTGGCAGCCTGGGATCCTGCGGCAATCGGTGGCCCATGGTCGCCTCGTTCTCAGGAATTGTGTCGAGTGTGTGCAATGGCTATCAGTTCGTCCTCGTGGCCCTGGGTTTCTTCGCAAGTGGTTGCTCCTCGTCTGCATCTTCAAGCTCTTCCGAGTGTCGTTTTGAACCAGCACTTTGTCGAGAGAAGGTAGAGGACACAGAGTCTATGGATTGATCAATTTCCGCGAACTGCACAAATTTGTCGTCCTTTTTGTCGGGGTAGCATTGGGCATGCCCACAAAGAGCCATCTTGAAAGCATCAACGATTTGCTTGTGGGTCAAAAATGGCGGGTCTCGGACAGTCTTGGCCGCAGTTGGAGCACGCTCGTGCTTGTGAATGCCCTTGACCCCCACGGAATCTCTGAAACCGGATATGTCATAGTCCCTGAACGTATAGAAACTTGCAGGAGCGGATGCGTTGTTAGGGACTAGTCCGGCGTATGGTGTAAGATCGGTGGCGTTGTACTGAGCTTTGCACAATCTCGCTAGATTGTAAAGCAGATCCTTTAGGGCGGACACCTCAGACAGATGTGCGGACGGAATGCCGCTGAATATACAAAGAACCTTTGCGTGACCACCAGTCCGATTCTCTCGATCTCCTTTTTTGGGTGAGTCGAAAATGTTGCTTACATGCCCTTGTAGATCTTGATCATGTATGGTATTGTGGTACCGCAGACAGATCCAGTTGAGAACGTGCATGAATGATTCCAAGTCGTCGGCAATAGTGTGTTGTTTGATACCCGGCCTCAAGAGAAGCAACGCGGACATGAATTGCCATGTTCCCTGAGGCATCCCGAATCAACATGGCCATCAGCATAGATCAATATTCCACTCACTGAACGGTTGCTTTGCTTAGCGCCTTGCTTAAGCTCAGCGTCAAACTTGCAGAAATCCCAGTCAATGAGGATCCCTCTCTTCGTAACACCAGGAATCGGTGATCTGGGATCTGGGATCATGAGCATGTTTGCCGCGCTGATGTCCCCGTGCAGCACCCAAGCCTTTTCCCAAGCCTGCCGATGTGCTGTACGCAGGAAAATCAGCATATGCTCTGAAATATACACAATTAAGCGCGACATACCAACCACAGCGCCAAACATCACCGCCACCAAGTCTTTGCTGGTGGGATAGTCCAGGATGGACTCACCGATCTCTTCCATCACAAGCCGGCAATGGATGTATTCTGCATTGCCGTTGTGATCCTGAGCTAACGTTCGATGCAGAGTCCCGTCGGTATGCACGACATCGCCACCACAAATCGGCGTGGCGATGTTTCCGACACCATGCTCGTGCAAATGCTGATAGACCTTGATCTCCGAGTTTCCTGTGGAGACGCGCCAAGAGTCCTTGAAGTATACAAATTTGCCAGTCTTCATGTCGAACGCAAGATACCCTCTTGTGCCACGCCCGATAGGAGAGGTGCTCGAGAAGTCATGTTTGCAGATCAAGAAGCACCGATAATGTACAGCAGGGCGGTTACGAGGTTTCGAGGCGGCACGAGCTTTCGATGTAGTGCGAGCTGCCGAGGAAGTTTCAGGTCCAGAGAGATCAGGGTCCTCGGATAGTGAGCCGATATTAGCTACAGGCGAGGAAGACGGAGATACAGTGGAAGATGCAGAGTCAATATTCGTGCTAGCAGTACGCCATGCGTCCACAGATACAACGTCGTCCTCACGACACAGCACCTTGTAGACGGGCCAACCCTCGGTCATAGCCACGTTCAGGCGCTTCAGACGGTAGTCATCTTCAGGTATGGAGTCCTTTGCCTTTCGCATCAAGTCGATGTCCTTCTTGGTCGCACGCACAACGGTAGGGTCGTAGCCGCGTTGTTTGTGGCTCATCATGCTTAGTCGATACAGAAATGTCAGTAGCTTGTCCGCTTGATCGGGGTCTTTGAGATCGAGGGCTGTGGTAACAGCAGCACCAGCCCGGTCCCACCGCATGAGTCGCGCCTCGGTGCGAGTGATTGCGATCATGAAGAAGAATAGACGGTGTTGGCGCTGAAGAATTCTGGCAGCGTAGTCGGCAAGTTGGCCTACTGCGGCTTGCCTGTGGATGTCATCAGGAAGGAAATCGCGTTCATTGCCGAACCCGAACGCCGACTTCTGATGATCTGCCTTGAACTCCACGGGTACGCAGACCCGCGACCAACAGGTCCGAGCAAGATGACTGTCATCGTATTCCGATTCCTTGAGTGTTTTGATTCCGTCCTTCGAATTCTTGTATGTCTTTCTCTTGTCCCTCGCCTTCTTGAGTCCCTCAATGTCGTCCTTCGACAGGGTGTAGTCCTTGGCCGCTACTGGGTCCTTTGGATAGAGGACGACGTCAGGTCTCGTCTTACCACCTTGACCAAACCCCGTTGACTCTGTGGAATCCGGCACGTCTGCAGTGATCTTGGCTACGAGTCGTTGCGCACTACGCCTCTTGAGTGCAGGGCTTGCGACACGGATCTGCAAAGATAGTGTCAGCGACTCGCGGGCGGTATGCGCACGATAACATGCAGAGCAAGACGTACAAACTCTTCTGCCATTTCGCGCTCATTGAGATCAGGCTTTTCGAGCAACTGTGTATTGAATCTCAAGGGCTCCTTCCTAGCATTGTGTTTGAAGTCTTTACCAGGCACATGAGTCTCGAGGAATGCCTCAACCTGAACTTGGGCGAGGTGAATGTGCATGGCAGAGGACGTACATTAGACGCAAGGAGAAGGCAGACGCCACAAAAGGCCGCGTCGCAGCACGTGACCGTTCTTTGTGGCTCATCCACGGCGGCCTGCCTTGATTCAACACTTCGAAATCGAGAGTCCAGGTTCCGATGACATTTAATCACGCGCGCTGCACAGAGATACGCGCGGTTCGCTGAATTATCACTGAAGCAGATGGGCAGTTCATCGTAGGGAGTCAACGATGAGTGTCATGGTACTACTCTACATGTTGGAACTTCAATCCGGCGTCGTCTAGAATACCCGTGTGTTTTCCGTTTGTTTCTTCCTGATCTGCGCGCCGCGCCACATTTGGCTTGGCGCGCATGCCGCCTTTCGTGTAACAGAACACCCGCGTTTCTGTTCCTCTGCCGCCGTCCCTTACGATACGTGCCGGTACCTTACGCCCTAATTACTTATACGATACGCTTCGTGACCTGCACCCTCAGTCTTGCACGCACCCGCTCGCGCGCCGTACTGGGGTTTACGTCCGTCCGCTACAGGCGTAGGACAACGTTCGTGCGCTCGCTCTTACACTACACTCAGATCAATCGACCATTTCATTAGCCCATCGACATTGCACCTGTTGCTGTCACTCAGTCCAATCACGTACTATCTGGCCATCGACATCTGTGATTCTCGGTTACATGCAGAATGTCTCCCGATTGGTATACGCAGGCAGCGGACAACAACAATAACAACGACTCGCAACGTTTTACGGTCATTGAGGCAGAGCAGACAAGCACAGCATCTTCGTCGACGGACGCCTTGGCCGATGATCAGTGATCGTGCCTTCTGATTGGATGGTCTCCTATGATCCTCTGTCCTCTCCGCCCATGTCATATGGCCCACCTTTCTCTCGCCTCAAGGTCTTTCAAGGTGTCTATATCACTCAAAGTCTCGCCAATAAACACAGCGTTACCCAAAGCCTTCTCTGACGTGGCAGGCTTGACGCACGGATCTGGAATGACTGGGGCGTCACATGCTTCCACCAGCAGCGGCAAATCTTCGTCTGCAGGCTCTGTAAGCGGCTTCCCGGAAGAGGACTTGCGCCAAGGAGGGCACAATAACGCTAGATATTCCTGCGAGACTGGGGCAAGTTCTCGACAAAGGCAGATACTGCATCGTCAGAAAACTCGGATACGGACAATGCTCGAGCGTCTGGCTCGCGCGAGACAAAGGGTCAGTGAATGCATTTTAACGTCATGATTTTTATACACACGAAGGTTTCCAGGGAGGATCGCTTTGTATCTCTGAAGATCTTGACCTGCGAAGCGACCAAGGCACTTTCAGGCACATCACCATTGTCCGACGAGCTCGGTCTGCTGCAGAAGATAGCCGACGGTGACCAAGGGCATCCTGGATTCCGACATAACATCAAGTACTACGGCTCGTTTGAATTTCCGGGACCTCATGGCAAGCATCACTGTGTGATTACGGAGGTGCTTGGGTACAGCCTGGAGTATGTTCGCACACTGAACCCCAACGGAGACCGTCGTGTGCAGACGAGCACTGTCAAACGCGTCGTGAAGCACATCGTCCGAGGATTAGAGTATCTACATGATGTTTGTGGAATTGTGCATGCAGGTTGAGACACCGCGCTTGTGTAGAGCATGAATGGTAACGACTGACACCGACGACATTCCAGACATCAAACATGATAATATCCTCTTCCGGCCTGTCGATGTCGCAGCCGTTGTAGCACACGAGCTGTCGACGGACCCTTCAGCATGCTACGCAGTCCGCCTGTCGTGCCCATTGTGTCGCAAGTGCTTCCGCTATCCACGGAGCCGTCCATCCAGGAAGACCGCTTGGAGGCTGTGGTCTCCGACGTCGGACACTGTAAGTTACTTCCTCGACGACATCGCACTGCTTATGTGGATCCACCCAGCGCACTGGAGAGACCGCCACTTCCAAGAGATCATCCAGCCAGCGGCTCTGCGTGCACCGGAGGTGATCCTTGGCTACAGATGGGACACGCCTGCAGATATATGGAATCTAGGGTGCATTGTTTGTATTTCACATAATATCCCTGTGCGCGCGACTGACGACATGCGTGCGACAGGTGATGGAGCTTTTGATCGGGTTCTGGCTGTTCGAACCCAACAAGGAAAGCGGATGGGGTGTCGAGGAAGACCATCTCGTGCGCATGACGGAAGCGTTGGACACTCGCTTCGATGTCGAGTTTCTCAGCAAATGCATGCACAGGGACCAATTCTTCACCGCGGATGGTGCGTGATTTGGATGCACATATACGTCGTGCTTCTACTGACTTCCCCCTTACGCGGCGCAGGCAGTTTCGCTCATTTTGATGCGCACAAGGAGCCGACGTGGACCATTCGCAGGCTGCTAGAGACCTTCTCTCTCGAACAAGATGAGGCTGAGATTGTCGAGGCAGAGCGATTTATCCTCAGATGCCTACGGCTTGTTCCTGAAGAGCGTGCCACGGCCAAAGATCTTGCCAACAACACATGGCTAGAGTAGAGGGGATGGGACGAAAGAATTGTGGCCGCACGATATACACACAATGAAGCATGGAGAAGATCGTCGGAGACAACGAACGGCTCATCGGATGTTGCATATGTGACGACGATCATCATGTGCCAATAACCGTATGTTCTAAGATATACGTAAAACATACATACAGCGAATGACGAGACCAATATGTATCACTATGTACTCAACGATAACTAGTCATGATACAACTGACAGAACAAAAAGCATGACTGGCGCAAACGCCGTTTCCTGCTATATCACCGAAATTCTCACTAGCTCCACCACTTGCACTCACAAGGCACAATACCTTCGTGGATCAAGCGCGATCGTCAAGGCATTCATCCGAGTGCGTTTGAAGGATGGAGTCCATCGAGGAGCTCGTAGTGAGTACTCCCTTCGTCGTTCTTAATCGTTTGGACGAGCGATTGGATTCGTTCGACGATTGCGCTGATCGTTTCAGATCCCTCGTGCTTTGTTGCGTCGATGGTTCTGTGGCTGGCGTGAACTGAGGCTTGTCCACCTTATCGATGGTGATTTGCATATAGCTGTTCTTCTCCATATATTTGATAACTTCCCTGAATGCTTGCCAGATCCAGAAATGCTCCTGTAGTTTGGGCTTGGTACTGGTTGTTGGAACTTGAGATTGTGGCGAGCGCATGCCACCGTATTTGGCATTGTTTGTAGTACCTCGCAGACTTTGCGCGAGCCGTCCTGTATGTTCCTTACGCGTTTGACAGAGCTCAGACAAACGCGATATATCTTTGTTGATCGTTCTCGCTTCGGGTCTCGGACGAACTTTAACACTGGTATCGAGCAGCGGCCGTGCATCTTCTTTGTGAGAACTCTCGGCGTCTCCTTCGATTCCTGGATGTTCCACAAGACCGTGGTCACGAACGGAAATATCGGTCTCGACTGGGGCCGCCGGGGGCTGCGATGGAGATTTCTTTCCCTTTTGTATCTTGATATCCTCAAGCTTTGCGATCTGCTCCTTCGTAGACGATGCGTTGTAATGCTCTTCGCGTATTCCTGCCAGTTTTATTGTCAATCTTTCCAGAGGCTTGGACGATAGCTTGGCGAACGGCAATGCCCCCAAAAGCATGTTACTGAATTTCTTGTCTCCGCCCGTGTCATAACCTAGAGAATCCGAGTATTTGTCATAGATCTCGAGCACAACTTCCTGGAGCGCAGCAGGAGACTCGGACAGACTGTGCTCGTACCACATGAGGATCGTCCAGTGAAGGACGTGGACAAAGGACTCGAGGTCGTCCGATACCTGGCGCAATTTAATAGGGTACTGCAGGAGCATGGCTGAGCTGAACTGCCATGTTCCCTGTGCCGTACAATTAGTCAGTGTATAGACTATGAGCAGACATGGGATGGGTAGGATGGCTCGAGCCCTTCTTCAGTTCGCTCTCGTACTTGCACAAGTCCCAGTCATTGAGGATGCCCACAACTTGACCGACTTTGGGCCCAGTACGCTTGACCATGATGTTGTTCGTACTGATGTCACAGTGTAGGATGCCGGCTTTGGTCCAAGCTATATAATGCGCTAAAGAACCAACAAATATTAGCAGGTCAACCCTGGACACAGTTCTCAGAAAAACACTTGCCTAGCAGCGCATCACTCAAAACGAGAGTTAGCTCATACGAGCATTTGCAGTTATCCAGTGGCTCGTAAACCTCGTCAGTGATCAGACGGAAATGGATGCGTGCTCTCGTGTCCTTTCCTCGCACGGTGTCCCCATATTGCTGCGTGATTGTGTGATGCACCTTGCCGCCACTCTTTATTATCCCACCGCTGATGGGTGTGGCAATGTTCTTCACCCCATTCCGCCACAGATCCATGTAAACAGCACGCTCTGTTTTCCGCAGTGACGAATCCAGCGGCCACGAATCCCTCATGAAAACCAGCCGCTTGCCACGTATATCGAATGCCACATATCCGATCGTCGAATGACCCGTTGGCGAATTGCTCATACTCAGAGGTTTGCCGATTAGCAGCGTCAGATCCTCTGCGGGAATGTCAGAATGTGATTGTGATGAATCTTCAGGCACACAAGCCTCGTCAACCTTAGGCTCAAGTTCCGCGGCCGAGATGAGGTTCTCGCGGGGGATCGTCACCTTGTAGATAGGCCATTTCGTCTCCATCGCATCCTTGAAGCGCTCTGTGTGATAGGGCGACAGCTTGCCGTCCTCCACCATGCCAACTTTCCACACTATCATCTCGTCGATGTCGTGGCGCGGCGCTTCAACAACACTGGTGTCAAACCCACGCTCTTAGCAGCCTGCGACGACCACCATGAAGCAAAATTGCCGAGGCTGACTCTGCATCAAATGCAACGCATATTCGCTGATCTGGCTTCTCGCTTTGACGGCGCCGTGAGTCTGCTGAAGGAAGTTATCTTTCTCTGCTTGCCGATTGGATCCCGCGCCATCGCGCTCTTTGTCACAGATCGCTGGTGTCTTTCCCAACCTGCCATTGCTCGCTCGCGGAAATGAGAACGGGTGATCCCTCGAAGTCGAGCTCTTGCACTCGATGACCAAGGAGGCATAACGCCAGGATGTCGCCACCTCGGACGATGCCTGCGCTTTCTCTGTATTTTCCGCGTCTTCATTCGCCTTCGTCGCGGGCTGGTGTGTCGCGCGAGCCTCATCGTGGTCTTTGCAGACCGAGATATCTGAATTCTTCATTCCGCCGTCACCGCGATTGCTCCTGCCTGAATTACCGGTGTCCCTTGCCACAAGCCTGCACCCAGACGCGTCGCCTTCTGTGCAGAGGTCCAAGATGGATCGTATGAATGCACACTAAAACAATCATTAGCAATGAAGAACGTCAACGAGGCCGTTGCATATCTTACAAGTGTCTTGTACGCACACAGTCCTTTTCCCGTAAAGTTGTCTTCGTTGAGCTTGATCATGGCGAGTTTAGCCTTCATCTCAGCCGTCGGTTCCTTCCCGCCAATGTGACGGCACATCATGTCCCTGACTGGGATCGGCACGAACTTGTCATCCATTTCCTTGTGCAGTATGATTTGTCAATTCGTGAGGTTGGCTGTTCCCTCTATCTTCCTTATGGTGAGAGTCTATTGTGAGAAAACCTTGGCTGACAAAGGGTAGAGTTCTGTGATTGGCGAGCGATTCGAGATGGAGTTACTGAAGGCAGATACAGTGAGCACACGCATATACTTCGTCCTCAAGGGTGCAAAGACGGAGAAGGAAGACGCCTTTCGTGCTAGTCGTTGAGCGCCTTGAATTGAGCAAAAGTTGGACATGTGGCGTGGGTTCAATAGGAGAGCCGCAAGTAATACAAGATCACCTACATGAAGGTCGTGCCCCGCCCTCAAGTTGTTCAATACAATGTATGGACAAATGTCAATGCTGTGATGTAAGTGCACAGCTAGCTGTGCAGATGGACATCGAAGTGAGTGTTGAAGGGGGAAATATACCATGTACTAAGCATATCGTAATGCATATGATGAACAGCATCAACTGAACTGTGCTCTTATTGGCAGCTTCGAAGCGGTTGAGCTTGACTTGGACTTTGAGCTTGAAGGTGTCGACATTTGTCATTTGAGCTGATTGGTTGATTCGCGTCACGCCCACGTGACCCATCATGGGTTCTTCTCCACACGCGTGCTCAGCGTGGCGTTGCAAGTTTGATCAACGCACGGTCCTTTACGCGCACCTTGTCCACGTCCTTGTGTCCCCTGTTAGTAAATTTGCGATCTCAGCTCTCCAGAACGAAGCTGGCACACTCGATTGTCTAGAATTGACCTTGTTGATCCCACGAGCCCACGCCACGACTCAGCCTCGTTCACTGTGTTCTGAGCGTACACCTGCTGTGGCTCGACTGAAAGGTGTGATACACTCTTTTGACGGTGCTAGGCGTGGTAAGTGGTCAGCGTATCGTTGTGGAACGGTTCAGAGTGAGCCTGATTGCCGCCGTTGTTTCCGCAATATACGCGTGTTCTCCGCGGAAATATAGATTGCACCAACACCACATAGCAGCCACACCGACCGTCAAATCTCAGATCAGGAATTGAAGGTGAGTGCAGAGAAATGGGTGGCTCAAATGACACTGATCCTCGTGCTGCACAATGAACAATGCAGATAACTTCTGGGGCACACCTGTCCCTCTTCACTTCCTTCTTAATCTCGTCTTGTGGCGAAGATCTCCTTCCGTGTGATAGTACGTGTAGAAGGTATATAGTCCCACAATCCAGTGAGTCAAATGCCAAGCTTCAATACACCATGGAATCCTCATCTGCTCCTCAGACTGCATCTGGCGATACAGCGCAGATCCCCACCGACGCTGCTAAACAACCTCGCACACCTCCCAAAGCTTCAGCTGTACTACCGCCTCAATTTGGGTCCACGCCTCCGAAGCCGACACTAAACGCACAACAAGGCAACGCTATTGTGGGAATAAAGGGACGTAAGCTTCGTGACCGTTTTTACACCCGACTAGACACAGACATGTCCGGAAACTGGGTGGAGATCCCGGTAGACAAGTTCTCGGACTTTCTGCCTGGAGATGAACCGACAGACACAGTTCTCGCAACATTCAACGAAGAGACTTTTGACGAGAGCAAATTTACAACAACTAATGAAGAGGATATGTATACTCCATATGTGAGTCACTCTCCAAGCACTCTTGTTTTAGCGCGCTGACGCCAGTCGAGCAGTGTAGCACAGCCGAGAAGATCCTTGCGTTGGGCCCGGAAGACAGAAGACTTGTTGCGAGAGACACAGGAAGATACACGGATACACGCGGTAGCCCCAACGAGAAAATGCGACCGGACGTTATACTCTATCCTGCCACGAAGAAAGCCGAGGACGCGTACTCGCTGAAGGAGAATGAGCTGGCCAAGGCGGCCGACATGACGCCGGAACAGAAGATGTATGTCGCAAGGCCGTCCTGGGCTTGGGCGGACCTAGTCATGGATATCAAGACCGAGAACGGCGACCATCCATTCCACTTCGCAGCGTCTGGAGAGGAATTCCTGTTGGACACTGAAGCGGCAATGGTGAGAAGAGGCCAGATCGCCAACTACGCCGCCGCCGTGTTGCGCAATCAACACCGCCAATTCTGCTTCATGGTTGTCGCTGCTGGGTGTCGTGCTCGCCTTCTGAGGTAGGACAGAAGCGGTGCCGTTGTCTCAAAGTCTTTTGATTTCGTTCGCGAGAACAAAGACATCATGTTCCGCTTCCTATACAAGTACAGCTGCATGAGCCAGGAAGAGAGAGGCTACGATCCAACCTTCGTCGAGGCTACACCCGCGGATGTCGACGCGATGAAGGCTTGGAAGGCTGAGGTCATGAAAGACAAGACAGCCAGACTATCAGACTATCAGTCGCAATGTTTTGACCGCGAGCTGGCTGGGAGCTGGCCAGTCTACCGGGTTACCATCCCAAAGGAAGACCTCATCTCGGACATCTCGCTGACCCCAGGCAACAAACAAGATCAAGAACGCTCCGCGCCGTCATCCAGTGGTGAACATATATGTGATGATGACCTTGTTCTTCTAGTTGGGAAGCCGAACAAGAATAGCAGCTCTCCTGTTGGACGGGGAATGCAAGGATACGTAGCCTATGATGTGCGGAAGCGGCGGCTTGTATACCTGAAAGACAGCTGGCGACCTGATTTGGAGGATGCGCATCCGGAGCACAAGACGTACATTCATTTGTGGCAACACAATGTCGAGAACATTGCGAAGCCCTTGAGCGGAGGTGACGTACGCATTGGAAACAGGATTCAGCGCACGTTGGCGCAGGACTGTGTCCGGGAGGTGACCAAGGTTAAGCATCTCGGTCGTGTGCACTATCGCATTGTCTTCTCCGAAGTCTATCGTCCGCTCGAGACGTATGGACATTCCCTCGACATGGTTGAAGTAATCTGTGATGCTCTATATGGTAAGCACCGATGTAGTTTTCTATCCATAGATGCTCATTTGCTGGTTACTTTGCAGCACACAGGGATGCGTGGGAGAAGGCGGACGTTCTTCATCGCGACATCAGTGATGGTAATGTCATGATTAGGGATACATTCGATAAGAATGGTCGTCTTCAAATCGGGGGGATATTGAACGACTGGGATCTAGCAAAGTTCAAAAGCGAGCTGGAGAACCCTCCAAGCCGGAGACAACGTTCGGTAAGTACAATACCATTTGTGGCGGTAGTGCTGATCAAAGAAGCTGACTCACGGCATAATAGGGAACCTGGCAGTTTATGTCCGCATTCATTTTGAGCTTTCCGGGACAGAAAAAACATACCGTCTCAGACGATTTAGAATCCTTTGTCCACTTGACCAATTGGCTTGTACTGAAATGGCATCTCCACAAGTTTTCCGCAACTATGGGCTCACTCAAAGAACATGTCACAAACACCTACGACGCATTCGCACAAAACGACGACGGTCTCGATCTCGGCGGTTCGCAGAAGCACGGATTTTTGAGCACAGGGGAAATTCCGTTTGCGCCAGTTCGGAAAAGCCCACCTTTGGAACATCTCACCAAAGCACTCGCCAAAACATGCCATGCCCATTACGAGGCGCACAAAGAAGAATGGCAGCGTCTTTCGGACAACCAGGGTCGCGAAAATGCCAAACGCGCGGATGATTCGAAACCGATGGGAAAGCCTGTAATCGGTCGCTCCGTGAACCCTCGGTATCTCCAGAAATCGGCTGGCAGCACGCCAGTGGTCCATAATCTCCAGCAATCTCAGGAGCTATCCTTAACTGAATCGTTTGGACCCTTGGATGACCATAATGCCTTGATCTCAATCTACTCGGACGTCATTCTTACTTTCGCCTATCTCCTTGAAGACGGCAATGAGCCCGATAAATTGCAAGAGAGTCAGTTCAAGGACATCCTCGACACCGGCTCGAGATCTCAAAATCGCTCAAAGCGCCCATCTTAGAGCTCAGAAGAGGGTCAGCCACGATCCAAGAAGCCCAAGCGGTCTCCGCAAGAGGCGACCGGCGAGGGGTCTTCCCTTCAAACGATCGTGGAGGATCATGACGAGCTGACAGTGCCAGCGGTCGGCGGATTCGAACAGGTATTGCCTGTCGATGAGCACACGTCTTCCACGCTTCCGCAATTGGCCGCCGAAAAGGACGGCACCACGATTCAGTGAACGGTGTTCGCGTCGGAATTGTGAACTGGATCACTAATATCCAGTATGTATATGTCGTCGCCGTTTCGTGGTTCCGGTAACTACCTATTGCGTGTCCTGGACTTAGTACTAACATTGCGCCCTCATACTTGTCTCCAGTAGATTGTATGTATGCTAAATATATCATATAAGTTGGCTTGGATTGTATCTGGCGGAGTAGGCGTGAATGCCACAGCTCCTGAAATTGCAAAACAGTATATAACCCTATACTTCAAGTTGTTACGTTGAGTCTTGAAGTGCGCCATTTCATTTGGCTTGAAAGGCACAATCGCTCGTCTCATCCTCATCTCTGGTGAAGTTGAAGGCCTTCACATCTCTACGCCAAGTTCACGGGAAGCTCATGTCCGCTGCCCGTCCCTTGGCTCCCTACCTTTCTCAGAGTAGTTTCCGAGTCGATGCTATAATTCACGCTCTCATTCACTCTCACACTGGCTATCTGAATCAACTCTAAGCCACGCATACAATGTACGTGCATACGTTAGGTTCCAAGTAGTACTTAACGCTCACGACTCATTTACCCTGTGGTCGCTTGAAAATGCCCGCAACCGGCCGAGTGCAGCATCACTGATTCGGAATGTTCGATAGGTGTAGTACCGAAGCATAAGGGCACAGTACATCACATACTGCTTTTACCACCTATGATCTGCTAGTGGTCGAAAGGATACGGAATCAAGTCGCTGAGCGACCGCACCTCCACCCCTCCACTCGCGTCTCCCTGATCACGCCGCGTATCGTAATCACCTGGGACAAGCAGGCACGGCATATGTGATGGGCAGAACTCGTAAAGGACTTGACGGCAGAGCCCACAGGGAGAGATCGGCACTGCGACGTCACTATGCAGCAGTCGTCTCATGTCCACTGAAAACGAGATTACAAGCATACCTGACTATCGCAATCGCACGGAAGGTACGAATGCCTTCGCTCTACGCGCGTTGATTGTTCATCGAGGTCTTTCCACATTGATATGAGCACGTACGACTGCCTTCACGATCGCTGTCCTCTCCGCGCACACGCAGCCTAACGGTGTGGTGAGCATGTCCAGCGCGAGCGAAGGGTGTACCTTTTGTTGCTACCTGAGGAGACGCAGTCAACGCTCGCCCCAGAGACGATTTCCAGATCGACAGTCAGTAGGGCAGCGCCGACGCGGAAAGGTGGATGCCCAGGCGAGCTGTAAGCATTCTCTCGAGCTATCGAGAACAAATCAGCAACGGAACACTCCAAAGTAAGGTACCCACCACCGAACGCCGCCGCCACCAGTCGTCTCCGATCAGTATCACTCAAAGTATCCTCCATCGCAGCATACACGTTGAGGGTCAAAGGCGAGACTTGGGCGAGATTAGTCACATAGACGCAACGTCGTCGTTCGAACGTTGCATAGCGCATGCCGGACTTTGGCGGCGCAGGCCCCGGATCAGCGGGAAAATAAAGTTTATTCGAGCTTCTGCAGGACATCTCAGCACGACTGCATCATGATCTATGCCGGTAGTCCCTCCTCCCCGCACATCTTGTCTGATCATAGTCCAGGTAGATTACTACGCGTATCAGACGGTACGTATGTTCACTGGCGACTCGCGCACCAAACTGAGAACGCCTGACAGTCATGTCGCAGAGTGAGGATCTGCGGCGTGCTCCATCTCAAGAGAATGTATGTACAATCGCCTCAAAGGTTGTGAACGTCACCATGTTGACAGGTATCGACCTTGTGCGAGCTGTCTTGAGATGGCACTCATAAACGCCGGGGGAAGGTCACTCACCGGATCAACGTGGGCGACAAGCCTCGAAAGAACACCCGTAGGCCTTCATTCCGATACGAGTGCACGATCGTCGAGAGGGTACTCCGGTACGGGTCGTGGGGCGTTGTCGCAAACGTACTCTGCACCCGGGTCTTGACGACGTCGAACGGGAATGTCACTATCCACCCGGCCACGCCCGCCATCGCGCCCGCACACAGCAGTGCATACCATGGGGCCGTCGATACCGTTCGATCCGTGACTCCTGCTGGACGCGGCCAGAAGCGGATAGTCGCCTCATACGCGGCGAAGTAGGGTCCATAGCCGGCATCGCGCCAAGCCGTCGCGGACATTCCGCGGTATAAGCCCTTCATGCCATGGTGCTTCAAAACATACGAGACCACATCACCAGCACTGCTCGGAGGTCTGAACGTTGTAGATGTAGATGCAGCGGATTGGATGAGTTGTTGTTGCGTCTTGATCAGCTCTGTAGGCGTTGTGATAAGCCTATGTATGCACCCCAGAGCATGGAGAAGCAGCAGACATATAGACAAGGATGCGAGCGTGAGCTAGGGAGGACGATGGCATGTGCAACCATAGATGGAGCACATACGTTCCGACGAAACCTGTGCCAGCGCCGGCTAGAGTGACTTGGGTGAGGGAAAGCGTATCATCCGCATCTTTGAGTTGAATCTTCGTGAGAAACCGATATACGGAAAAAACCAAGCCATTCAAAGGTGCAGCAGTGACCTTGGCCCTTGGACCTTAGTCTATTTGCTTACACTCGGAGAAAACTTGCACAACGTACGAGAGGCGACGCAATGCCACGATATAGACCGCTCACATGTTCTTTATGTAGAATGGTAGCCAGCGCATGAAATGTAGACTTGTATTGGTTGGCAACTGCGGAGCTTTGCAATCTTACTTTGACTTTGAGGACGTTTAGTTAGGTTGCAGGCAGACGTACAAGCGCTGTTAGCGCGTGTCCGTACCTGTATCAAATGGAAATCCGACTGCTATGGCGGCCATGCCTGGTGGACCGATAGCCGGGTGAGTCGGATGCATCTGTGATGAGGTGTGATGGCCTACCTGCGACGGTGCCCGCTGCAAAATCAAGCCGCGGGTCAAGCGCGACTTTCGTTGAGACATGAAATAAGTGATATACGCTGAGGTCATATTTTCAGACAGCCTACCAGTAGCAGATACCTCGCGATCCGCCTCCTTCGGCCATTCCATGCAGGCCGTGAGGTTTCAACGATGGTGGGATCAAGGAAAGACCCTTATACAATTACGCTAAGATGATTAGTTTGCGATTGGCTCAGCGGTTGTCTTGAGTTGTTAGCTAGGGAAGATAGAGAGTGTGATCATGTAGATGGCTCGCGGCTTTATGTAGACGACGCATGGAAGGGACTGTCAATGTATTAAGCGTGGGAATGCAATGCATCATAGCCTCTGCCGGATCCGTTTACTTACCACCTACTGGCCACACTCACAATTCTGTCTCGATACCTGTCCAAGCTACACCTTCAAGAGAGCACTCCTTGTCTCTTCGATGTCTCTGCAAATCAACCTCTCGCGCAGAGAATTGACGCAAGCGTACCAGGATGTCCTCAATGGCAGGGATATCGACTGGGCCATATTCACGTATGACAAGGGTACCAACGACCTGAAGGTCCAGGCGACTGGCGATGGCGGCTTGGACGAGTTGCAGGAGGAGTTCTCTGACGGGCGGTATGTTAGTCGTGGCTCGTATCCTCTACCAAGTGTTGACAGCGTAGGTGTGCGGCAGAATGCAATATGCATTTGCACGTGTCAAGGACCAGAATGTATGTCATGTACCTTGAATCTTGGTATATGGCGCAGGAACTGAGCTGTAACACGCATGCAGAGCGAGTTGCCCAAGTTCGTTCAAATTGATTGGTGCGGTGATGGCGTTCCGGTCGCTAGGAAGGGTCTGTTCCACACACATTCAAGCGCAGTTGCCAACTTCCTCCGTGGTGCACATGTCGTCATCAGTGCGCGCAACGAGGTACGTTCACTCTGTTTGTTCCTGCGCCCAGCAGACTGAAGTGCACCAGTCGGATGTAACCCCTTCCCTTATCATGTCCCGTGTGGAAGCTGCATCTGGCGCAAAGTATTCCGTACACAAGGAGACCGCGCGTAAATTTGAGCCTATCGCTCCCGTAGGTACATCCTACACCCCAATTGGCAAGGTCGACATCGGCGCGATCCGCAACGCCGCTACCGCCGCCCCCGCTACGAAGCCAATCACCCCAAGCACGCCGCGCTCCGTTCCACTCGCGCCCTCTCCTGCGCCTGGGCTCGGCAGGGCGCCCATAGCTAACAGGGCACCAGTGGACGCGTGGCCGGAAGATTCACAGCCCGCGTTACCGCCAGCTCCGCCCTCCGCGAACCGGCCGCCTGTTGTTACCCGTGCAGCTCAGGCCGTACCTCTGGTAGGTTGTGCAATAACCTTCACACTAGCTTCAGTCGTTTGACATCACGCAGCCCCCTCGTAGCGTCCCAACCGCACCTTACATAGCTCCCACTGCGGCGACTCCGCCCAAGCCTGAGGAGGATGACAGGATTGGGCCAGTCGGTACCGCATACACGCCGATCAAGCTGCAGCCAAAGAAGCTCGTGAACCCGTTCGCAGCTAGGGAGGCGCAAGTGCAGGCCAAGGCCACACAACCGAGGTCACAGCCAACTGGTATGTGTACCAGATACTAGTATTTATCCAGATTCCTAGCTGATGATTGCATTATAGCAGGTACGAAGCTGACATGGAGGGATCGTGAGGCTCTGGCGAAGAAACGAGCCGAAGAAGAAGAGTCGAAGAGTCGTGCAGCATCATTCCAGGCGCCACCGTCTGCACCAGCACCAGCTTTCAGATCTCTACCGCCTCGACCGCCTGTTGCTCCTGCAGAGCCCGAAGAGGAGGAGGAATATGCGGTATGCATCGTCCATCTTCGCTAAGCCATACCTCACTGACAGCATACCCAGCCCCCGCATCCACCCGCACCGCCAGCTACAATGCGCGCGGCAGTACCCTCCGCGCCTTCACCCCCTCCCCCACCGCCTCCGCCGCCTCCGCCGCTCGCAGCAGAACCAGAACCGGAGCCCGAGCCCGAAGAGGCTGCTCCACCTCCGCCTGTGAGTTGCGCTCACTTGATTGCAGCATACATACTGATGAGGGATGATACGACAGCCTCCTCCACCTCCGCCTCCTCCTCCCGCTGCACCTGTGTACGTGGAGGAGCCGGAGCCAGAACCGGAGCCAGAGTCAGAGCCAGCACACACCTCGCAGGCGTACCCGCGCGGGGAAGGTCTCTGTGCGATCGTGCAATTTGACTACGAGGCAAGTGCCGTCTGCTCGGTTGGTATGCGCCAGATGGTACGCTGACGGGACATCCCCGGTTGCAGGCCCAAGAGGATAACGAGATGAGCCTTGTGGAAGGTGAACTCATCGAGCAGATCGAGCAGGTCGACGAGGGTTGGTGGTCTGGTGTCGGCGACGGTGGAGCGAAGAGCGGGCTGTTTCCAGGTGAGGCTCACCAGTCGTGTATGCGTCTGCACAATAAGCTAATTAGGGTATCAGCGAACTATGTCGAAGCCATTGAGCAGCCAGAGGAGTCCGAAGCACCACCGGCGTCTCCACCCCCGCCCCCGCCTCCTCCGCCCCCGCCGCCGGTATGCGCCGTCTTTTCAAATTGTTATTGACTCTACTGACAGGAGACTTCGTGCAGCCTCCCGCCCCGGTGGCGGTTCAGCATGTGCCCGAACCAGAGCCGGAGCCCGAACCAGAGGCCGCTGCAGGCGTCACCGCAATCGCACTATACGAGTACGCTGCTTTCTTTCCTTATCTCTGGTTGCAGGCACTGATTGCATACGCGCGACTAGTTACGATGCGGGCGAGGACAACGAACTATCGTTCCGCGAGGGCGACCGGATCGTGGAGATCGAGGCCGCGTCGGAGGACTGGTGGCAGGGCAAAGACCAGCATGGGAACGTAGGGCTATTCCCTGGTACGTCGTGCTCTTTGTTCTTCAGCATTATTACTTTGGTGAGATTGAGTGTGACTGACGCGTGCCGGCAGCTAACTACGTTGTGGTGCAAGAATAGGATGAAGTGGTAACGGGACAAGTCAAGAGCGAGCGTACTAATGTTATCTCAATATGGACTTTAATGAAATAGGGACTTCAGTCTATCTCCATAGTATGATCGCCAGACTGGACTGTGATGAGGTCAGCCTCCATGTTAGCCGTGAAGATAGGCTTGAGGCATTCGCGGGTGTAGCCCTGACAGACGTAAGCAACCAAAATGCATCGCAGCTTCGGGGTCTTGGGTGTATCTGAGACGGTTACGAAATGGCAATACCAGCACTTAGCAAAAAGGCACCGCCACACACCTCGCTATGAGTCGATTTCATAAATATGTGGACACTGGCAGACGTGGATGCAGAGATATCTGACTTCTTTCTGCAACATATACGTCAATATCGCTGTCCACACTGTTGCCAGTGACATTTCGACGAGCTTGTATCGCTTCGTGTCTTTTCCTGTAGAAATACCTCGATTGGACTCTCGGATGACGTCGAAAGGAATCGGATAGCCACAAATGAATAATATCTCTCCTGCTCTTTCTCTGCATTACTGGCCGAGTTTGTCCTCCAGAAAGACAATATGTTCTGCTTCACGCCCGCGATCTCGATGAAGTCATTGGGGGTGGCTGGGAAAACTTTGCTGATTATTTCGTTGGTTAGGCGACTATGATCTTGAAGGATCGCTGGTCACCCTTTACGGCTTGACGTCTCTAGGTTGTCCGAGTACCTTTATGAGGTAAATGACGTGGCCTTTCTCGTGGCCTTTCTTGGGCAATATCAATTCAAGCAACATATCTGTAAAGCATCCGTCTAGATAGTAGAATCGTTGCACTAATTCCACCAGGTCATTCGATCGGCATAGCCTGCAAGCGCACTCGATCGATCAATTTCACCGCTTCCTCTCGCCATCATCCACCCACCTAACCTTGAAGAATTTTCTTTTCATCTCAAGTGGTTGACTTTCTGGGCAGCCCAGGTACCTCTGCCATCAAGGCAAGATACTGTGGTGCCGCTCGCCGCTCAAACACAGTCCGATGATGGGAAAGCGTCTGTTTCTTGACGCAATTACATAGCTATGATCAACTTTCATGATCTCTGAATGGTCTATTACGCATCGATTCCCGATTATTTTCTGAAATTTATTTGACCAGCACGATTTGCTACTTGAAAAGCTTGTATTTACAGAGGTCCAGGTGGATTGTACCCCTGCGTGTTTCTAAGGTCGAGCTGAAAGATGTTCTGTTCAAACAGGTTCAACACTGTGCCTCCAGAGATACAATCTTGCGTGGCGGCCTATGTTAAATAAGTCAATACTTTGAAAACTCTCGCTACGACCAATGGAAGGACATACGCTGCCAGGTGTGCCAGCTGCAGACACCGTCTCAAACCACCATGACTGGAAAGCCCTCATTTGCTGCATCTGCTATTGGGCCATATCCGTGTGGGGAAAGAAGGCCGACGACGTTGATAATGGCCGTGCACGGGGAAAGGATAGCGTCGGTGTCGGATTTGGTCGCCTGGATTGTGCGTCGGTGAGTGCCCAGGATGATACGGTATCATGGTTGGATGTCGCTTACTGTGCAACCATCGTTGGCCGTATAATCTTGTGTACTTCAGTCCATGGAGACGTCGTACTTAAAGCTGCCAATGCAGCCGATCTGCATTGGCTCACGGCGTGCTTCCTGAGCGGCATCCCAGTCGACGTCCATCGGTTCCATGATTGTAGTCGGATGCCGAGATGGAGATTGGAATAAGAGTTACAGGGATAAAGGTGAGTTGATAACAAGTATGTGAGGGTGTGCAATTAACACAGTGGGGCCCAGTGCAGAGTCGAGGGTGAGGATGTGGGGGTGCCAGTGCAGTCAATCTGCATCGGTGCTGGTGCGCCCTGTTACGCCTGCTGAGTGACATCCCAGTCGACGTTCATGGATATGCATGAGTTTGATGATAGTGGTAGGTTATATAGACCAAAGTGCGTGCGGGTATACGATTGACACTGGTGGGACAGTGCAGAACCGAAGTAGAAAATGTAGGCATCGCAGCGGAAGCCCAAAGAGCTGCCTCGTGCCGGTAACCATTGACGCTATTTCCCGGAACAACGAGTGGGCAAGGACATAATGCAGGTCATTGTGAGTAATTATTCAATTATCCGGTGGCCGCTGAGGTTCGGATGTTTTAGCTGCATTCATCAAGAATCCGCAACTTCGAGGATACTGTACTTATATGTAAGTGTGGCGCAGTGCAGACATTATCAGGTCCTCCTTACTATTTTGTCTACCACGCGAAATTCGCTTGCGATAACAATTTATCTGGGCGTGAAATCGTACGGACTTGTGCGCACCTAGACGATACGGCTCATGACCACCTAGCGAACAATTTAGAAGAATCTTGAAGAGACAGGGTAATTCCGCGGCCTAATCGATATGAAGCAGAAACCTTCTCATCTATGGCCATTGATTTCATCCCATGCTGAGGTGAAAGTCTACGCATCGTGAATCCGAAGCCGACCTCCCTAAGTAAGCAATCATGCTAGTAACTGGGTGGCAAACTCTGCCCGAGTAAGGTCAAGATGCTTCTCGTCGACTATTCAGGCGCAAAACAATGACTCGAGCTCTTTCGATTTCCAATCGTGCGTGATGTATCTACGTCCATGTTGACCAAAAATGCTTGGAGAATTGACGAGCTTGCTTTGAGCTCCCATCGTCATTGTTCTTGGAATGTGGCCTCTTCCTCCAGTTCCTCGATTGTGTCCCACAGTGGTCGTTCCAGTTCACGTAACCTGGAGACACGTGCTTGACTCGTCTTAGCTGCTTTGAAGTCCCACAATGGATGTGGCATAACCCAGAGAGCAGCTCTAACGAGGTTTTGAGTTGGAGCTGAGCTTACAATGGCAGACGATTATTGTGACCCAGTTCCCTCAGGACTGCCATCCGCTGCGTCGCTAGACTGGGGCTAGAATAACTGGTTGAGAGAACCATTACAGCACAGATGAGAATAGACTTTCGTATCTGTTGCTAGCCGCATTGTGAATGTTGCAGGCGCCATCAAAGAATAGGTGAGTTCAGCGGGAGATAATAATTCATACATCATAACTCAGATCCGAAAGAAACCGCTAGTGAGGCAAATAGCGCTGATGTTGCCGCAGAGCGTCGATCCGTGTTCCCTCAATCGGCTACTGAGTCTGCGGGCTGTCTGTGACGCCACAGACGACTTGAGAGCAGACTCTTGAGGTTCCTGCAGCTTCTGCTACGAATTATCACGAGACAAACTGATAACGCAAACGACGCTACTGTGCGTCAGCGCATTATGTACGTGTTGTTTGCTTGCCTACCAGGCACAGTGGTCGGCCACTGGGGTAAGAGTCTACAACCAACTAGATCCATTTCATGGACAGTCTGTCTACTTTTAAAGATAACATGCCATCTGATGTGTTCGCGAATCAACACTCCGCATTAGATGCTCGTCAGCCAGGCTGCTACACAGTGAAGCCCTAGAAATGTGGATGTCAGATCAGGCTTACGAACGGCAGCAAGCTAGATACACTTACTCCGTTCACCATGATGTTTTGGCCGTTCACCCAACTTGCCTGTGGACTCGCAAGGAACGCGACGATCGGGCTAACCTCGTCGGGTACCCCAATACGCTTCTGAGGGTGCCCGTTTGCGAAGAACTGAATCAAATCCTCGCTCTTTCCTGCGCGAAACATGTCCGTATCGATTGGACCAGGTGAGATAGTGTTCACCGTGATGCCTCTGGCACCGAGGTCCTTCGCAAGAACACGCGTCATCTGGTCGACTGCGCCCTTTGTGCTGACGTAGAGGAGATAATTGGCGGGCACCATAGAGTTGCGCGTGAGCGAAGTGCTAAAGAGGATCACTCGTCCGCCTGAAGGGAACGCTTGCATGAGATGTGCGTGAGGGGGAATTTGATCGCGAACTGACCTTCTGTCATCAATGGTGCAGCCGCTTTGATTGTGAAGAGGGGTGCCTTCACATTCAGATTGAAGTGCTTCTCGTACGCGTCCTCGGTTATGTCCGCGAGCGTACCGTAACCCATAGTCGCTGCGTTCAGCACCAAAATGTCTAGCCGGCTGAATGCACGGATTGCCTCGTCAAGCAACCGCTTGGAGCCCTCCGTGGATCCTACATCCGCCTGCACCGCGATCGCTCTCCCCGACCCTGATGCGGACGCGCTGTTTATTGAGTCGACGACTGACGCCGCGGAAGCCGCGTCCGACGCGTAATTTATGAGAACATTTGCGCCGTCAGCGGCGAGTTTGCGCGCAATGGCTGCTCCGATCCCACGTGATGAGCCTGTGACGACTGCGACTTTGCCTGTGAGAGGGAGAGCCATAGCGGTGTTCAACTGGTGAGTGTGAGAACAGCAAGGAGTAGCAAGTGGACTGACCGCCTTTCACGCAGGGATGCGAAGCTTTATCGATATCTCTTCTGGTAACGCGTCATATTCTTGCCTGCGGCCGTGACAAATGTAACAGCTCAGCTATCAGCAGTATTTGTCATCGATATGCAGCGGCTCGCGAAGCATTCAGTTCTCTGACCAAGGCTGCATGACCACAACCTCGTTAGACTCCGACTTTGTCCTGATCAGAACCGAAGCACTTCGCTTCATTCCCGGTTCCTGATAAATTCAAGGTAATTTGCATGCCACAAAGGATACTGCTCAAGACAATTACTTACTGCATGACTGCTAGGCGCTTGAGCGGTGCACGTGACACACAGTTGGTTCTCCTCGCCGCCATGACAGTGCCACAGAACCATCGAAACTCACCAATATTGATACATAGAAACATAGAGGAAGACGTTTCGATCTATTTGAGACTCAAATCATGAGAATTGTTGCACTATTGAACGACTTACAGCGTACTTAATGCTGCAAGTGCGAAAAGTGCTCGGGCGCTTGTAGCGGACTCTTTGGCTTTGTTTGTCCCCGGCGAAAGCAAGGGCTCGCGCTCACCCCTATGTCGATATGCTCGCTTTGCTCGCAATCAGGAGGACGAAGGGTTGGTGCTGACTCGAGAGCGCGCTTGCTTTCCTGTCGCGGGACACGGGCGGCTCGCGGGTGGGAAAGCTCGCGCGCTTAGTCAGCGTGTCCCGGGACACGCACGTGAGCTCACGCGTTAGGCGCCCGCCCGCGCGTGCCGCCCTGTGCCGTGCGCCCCGCGACGCTGGCCCCCGGACACGGCGGCGGCGGAAGCAAACCGTCGCGCACGTCGTTTCCGGCGTGCCGGCGCGTTCCGGGTAGCGCGCGCGAGAGCGCGTGCGTGCGTGCGCACGTCGTTGCGCACGGCGCGGGGAGACGACGGCGCGGAGGCGGGCGGCAAACGGCCGTTCGGCTGTGGGGCACGCGCCTAAGCATCCGAGTTCCCCGTGTTCAAACCTTTACTGATCCTGGTCATCATAGACGACACGAGGCACCAATACGCTGGGTAAGTGCTTCAATGCATCTGTGCTCATGCTTTCTAACCTTCTGGTCGGAAATCCAAAACACGACATCTAGTGTGCATCAAAGACGTCAGCTCGACGCAAAATGCTATAGCATATATTTCTATTCACTCTAGAGCAATCATGGCATGGCATGGCGAGGTCAGACTGTCAATCGGTCCGAAGGAAATGACTCACATTACTAGTGTTGTTCAGGGCTCGCCTCGGGCACAAAGCACTACTTTGGGCCGCACTTTTGACCACTGGGCCTGCATACTAGGCTCTGTGGCCTCTTGGAGGTCTTTCGAGGACTTGTGTTGAGCTATATGCGCTTCAGCCAAGCAGGGTTCGGCGGGCTTGGACATCAAAGCCTGATTGTGAACATCACTACACATTACATGATATGAACCAGGACTGTTGTGTATGCCTTTATTCTCTCTCTGGTTTCACCTCCAAGAAGTCGTATAAACGCTTCGACTGTGGCATCTTTCACCAGCTATGCCTTCGGCTTTGAATCCCATCCCATACTAGTATCTGGACAGGTGAGGCGTATTATGAAGAGGCGTGTAGAGCACACATGCTGCAATAGGGGGGCTTGCAATTATCCGCGAGGTATCCATACCTGAGCTACTGAGATTTCATTGCGCTTGCCATTCCAAGCCGAGTATGATGTAACAGACGACCAGATGCCATTGAAAGGTCTACTTATTCTGCCCGTGCCATGTATGAGAACGTGGCATTGCATGTCCCTGTTAACGAGATCAGGCTTATGCAAAAGTAGGGAGAGACCATGCGCAATCGCAACAGCCCAGGTAGCCCGCTCCTGGCCAGGTTCCACACTTTCCTGCCACCGCTGTTGGTCAGGCTGCAATTCGTCTGCCAAAGGACAACGTGGCCAGTCGAGATCCATCATGTGCACGCGTACGCAAGGGATGCCGCCTGTAATGGCCGACGTGCAGGTTATCGCAAAACCTGAATGTCGCTATGTCAGGCTTTGCGTAGTCGAGTCTGTAACTGAAGGATCCGCATAGCCTGTTCGGTGCGTGTATGCATACCTGAAACGCGACGTGTCACAGCGAGAGGCATGATGCGAGGGCCGGAGGTACTTGCTCCTGCCTATCGCGCAGCTAGCGGTCAGCGCCACGTTAGCACATGAAGCGCGCCTACAGACTCACCATGAAACACTCCGGCATCGCAGGGATGTCGTCCGGCTGCATCGCGTACAGCGTGATGTCAAAGCCCCGCAGCCTGGGCGCCATTGACGCCAGCTCGCCACAAAACGCAGGGGTCGGATCGACTGTGCTAATTATTCGCAGGCTGAGGCTCACGGCTGTATAACGCGCAACATGCCCGCACGTAACAAAATCTGTGGAGAAGCGAGCTGCCTGCGCCAGCAGAGGCCAAGGATTGCCGGCAAACGAGGATGGTTCACGGGGCAGGTAGGCCTCTCGAATGTCAATGAGCGCAGAGGGTAGTCCAGAGCGAGTCGGGCCGCAACATATCGACGTTGTAAAATACATAGAGGACAATGTACATCGAGATCTAGTAGTTGAGAAGCAGCTCATCCACAGAAGCCATGTACAATCGGCGCTCAATAAATCTTCAAACAGATGGGCAAGCTGCGCCAGACGCACGCTCTTGATCATCCGCTGGGCAGCCAGCCTCGATAGGAGGTCGACTCAGCGAGTCGCACTACTGAGTACCACAAGGTCCAGATTTGTGAGTCTGCTGCGAAGAGTTTTGAGGGCGTCTAGCGACTTTTGAGAGTTCTGCGGAGACAGATGCAATCGGCGCAGGCGGGACAGAGTGGCTATCGTAGGACCAGCACGAAGAACTCACACCAGCAGTTGAGACGTCCTCAAGACGGACAGAGAGGTCAGGTTGACGGCGTTCTCGAGGAGGGCGACCACAAGGCTCGCAGTCCTTCGCTGCTCGAGCCGGCGTAAGCCCACGGATGTCGAAAGTGGATATGCGCCTGGAGACTCTTCAGCTAGAGAAATCAGCTTACTCGATTGTTCATGATGATTACGGCCTCTGGGTACCAAACGTCGACCTGTAACGCGGAGACGCAATGAAGGCGCCAAGGAATGTCTCGAGGGGCATGTCGGCAAAACAACATCAGTTGCTTCACTAACAGAGGGCGCTATGTCCAACCGCTAATGCCATTTATGAAGAGAAGTCCGACCACAGTAGAACAATCGCTCTGGTATATCGGTTCACCATGAGGGTCGGGAGCACCTTATATTGAAGATCTGCCACTCGGGCGTGGGTAAAGAACACACGACAGCTTATCTAGGTCAGGGATGCAGACGTCAAGCTCACCTATGCGTGCAGCACGTGAGATGAGAGCAGGTGTAGGGAAATGCATTAAAGAGATGCAGTAAACGGGGAGCAGACGTTGCTGCTACGCAGATGCAAGACTCGTAAACGTACAGGGCTGGCAATGGCGAACAGCGAATAGCGCAGGTATATGGAGCAGAGCGAGGGATTGCAACAGCGAGATGAGTATGAGGCGCATAGCAGAGCAGATGGCGAGGATGCCTTGGAGACCAAGGCTACACGCGCTGCACCCCGGTCGCGCCACATAAGATTTGAATCACACGATTGCGATGACATTGTGGTGGATCTTATTAGGGCAGCAAGAGGTCTATACATAGTAGGCATTCACATTATTCCAGCCAGGGTCCAGTCTCTGTGCCATCTGCACCTGCAGCTCCATCATGCACTTCAATGCGACATTGTCAGGCGTCACACTTCCGGTCGAGCATGCGCGGCACCACAACAGCCGACGACGACGACGTACCCAACGTCAGCACCTTGGCGGACGGCTCCGCATGCGCTGCCTTAGTCTTTCTCCTTAACTTTACCGAGCTCCGTGCCTTCGCCGTCTTGGGCCCCACCATCTTCGCCGCCGAGGTCTTCCCTCGTGCTTGCGATGGCCCTGCAGACGGCAACGACGGCAAATCCTGCGTCATAGAATCTTCTATTGTCGTCACTGACCTCGTCAGCAAGTGATGAGACCCCATCCTCTTATCATGATATACACCAGGCCACTTACCACACTTCACCTTCATGAGGTGGCAGTGCACACATGCCGACGTGATGCGCCCGCCTCTTTTCTTCCCCTGCCTCATATACTCCCGGCACAGCTGATTCTTCTTCTTGCACCGTGTGCACGGTACCGCCTACACCACCACCTGCAGTCAGCGAAACCGTCACCGTGAGACCGCATATCCGTACTTACCCTCAGTGGGCCTTCCTTCGACCACCGCCATGTAAAGTTATCTCTACTCCAACCCTCCTCATCCGCCCATCTTGCCGTCGCCATCGCCAGAGGCCAGATTCTATGCTCCTCGAGATTGATATCTGCGGCCTGTCCGAGAAAGCGGAGACCGCGCATAACCATGTCCAAAGCTTGCTGGACGCGGTCGTCAGGCATCGTTGAAACACACCAATCCAAGCCACACTTACTGCAGCATCCTCCTGTCGGTCCTTAGGCGTAGTAAACATTGCATCCAGGACAACATGAGTTGCTGAGGTCATGACTGTGAAGGCTGCTTTCAACTCTGCATCTATGTCAGCCATGGTCTTCCTCGTCGCCGTCGGTGGGGCAAGAAGTATGTTAAGTCACGTCGCGACTCGCGAACACATCAGCAAATGCCGCCGTGTGCACGTGAGGCGGCGCGACGGGGTCTCGGGAACGGGGAGCATCGCTTAACATCTGAGATGCACAGAAGACGCCGCCCGAGTACCCACGCTCAGTCGAAACACGGCAACCTTGCTCTCGGCGAGATCTTGAAGCGCAAATTCGCCACGACTCGGCGTACTCGTTCCCACAGGAGACTGTATTCTAATTCGTTCCATAAGATAGATCACTCGTGAGAATATCGTCTAGCGGGCATCAAACACTGCTCTCATCGCCCACCAATTCCCTCAGAAACACCCACAGAAATAGGGAGGTCGAAGAGCCAGCGTGTTACAAGATCCTATAGATAGTATCAGAACCATTGCTCGATGTCTCTCATGACAAGCGAAACGTACCAAACCGGCCTCGGGCTGGTCGTACGGGACCATGTGGCTATACGACAGAAAGATCAACATCTAGGTCTGAAGGCAAGAGGGCAAAGGACATACCCGGCTTCGTATACCTGCACAAACGTCACGTTACCTGCAGTATGACCACCGCCGCCTGCGCTGCGTACAAGACCCGCGATGTTGCCCGTCTCCGACGTCGTCCACGGCACGCCTTTCCTCGCAGCGAACTCCTTCTGGAAGCGCGTTTCGAGCTCCTCAACCCAGCGCTCGTTACCCTGCGCTTGAGCTCATTAGTGATCGTACTGTGTCCGACTAACTCGAGACGTACTATGAAGTTACACATCATGTCCGCGTTGCCTGCGTACACAAGGAGACGCACGCCGTCCTCAACGAGCGCGGGAAGAAGCTTCGCGCTGTTGTGTGCGCCGTCACCTTGTAGCGCAAAGGCCTGGTTGACCTCCATGTTGCAGCTTGCGAACTCACGCGAGGGGTTCACACCCAGCGCACGTTTCGTTGCAGGTGTGTTCATCCACGTCTCGATCCAGTTCATCTGTGGATAGCACAGGTCGCCATCCTTGCTGCGATCGCACTTGCGGCGCACGTCGTACGGGTTGAGGCCCAGCTCTAATGGTCATGGTCAGGGAGCGCAAGATCACAGAGCCATGCATCACTCACGAACGAGAGGACCCATGATCTGGCTGTTGCAGTAGAGCAGCGCAGGCACGCACGTCAGACGTGACTCAAAGTTATAACAACTTTGTAGAAGCCGCTGGCACGTCGGGACCTTGGTGCGTAGCGCCTCGCACTCGGGGCCGCTCGGGTCGTCAAAGACGGGGTACGGTCCGTCGCAGGCCCAGTCGGGCACGCTCGCCATCTGGATGTATGGGTTCGTGAGCCCGTTACCGAGCATGATGGAAGCGAGGTTGATATGGAGGAGACCCGGCGCGGCTTTGTTCTGTGCTTGCGCACGCGCCAGGAGTTGGTTCTCAGCATGGATGACAGATGCAATGTTCGGCGCGTAGGTACCGCCATAGCTTTCGGCAGCGATGTGGAATGAGGCGGAGGCATACTTGTTGAAGCGGCCGAGGAAGAGCTCGAGGAAAGCGTAGACGTCCTTGCCGGCGACAGGACTGGTATTGACGGAGGTACCGTCGTCAGCGTAGGAGAAACCGACGTCAACGGGCTGGTCGAGGAAGATGACGTTGGCATGAGTGTTCCAGGAGTAAGGGTTGTACGTGACGTTGGCGCCGTTGTCAGAGACCGAGCAGGGACCGAGCTCAAATAGGAGACCTGTAGAGGAAGAGCATCCAGGGCCACCGTTGAGCCAGAGGAGGAGAGGGGCCTCTTCGGGATTGACACGAGCCTCGAAGAACCTAGTGACGTTGAATCATAGGGGGTGGGGGGTAGGAAATGCGCATACACACCAGAAGAAGAGATGTTTGTCCTCCGCAATATCCAAGTATCCAGAGTATTGCTTAACAGAAGGGTCGCATAGGTCGGGCTCGGTGACCCTAAGCTGGTATTGATCGAAGACGGGGTTCGACACGAGCTCGTCTGCGCACGAGAATATGAGCCACGACGCAGCCTAAGAATACACGGCCTACTTACAGTTGATACCGTGCTGCTCTACGTGCAATCTCCCAAGTGCATCATACCATTTGGAGGCCTTACTCTTGGAGATCTCAACGGCATCGTGAACGGCATGCTTGACCGAGTCGACGACCTGACCGGCAAGATCGCCATAAGGTACGTCGCCAAGGACTGTTTGATCAGGGGCGGGGATTGCGAGAGCAGCGGGAAGGGAAAGGAGGGGGAGCAGACACAGGGCAGCCCTCATTGTCGCAGTCAGCGTCAGGGCAGTCTTCATCGTCGCAGTCAGCGTCGAGGTCAGCACGCACAGACGCAGCCTGCCGGATTCGGTGCTCCCGCCGCCACGCCCCACGTGACCGTAACTGCAGCCGCCATCCGGCGTCGCGCACGACGCGCTCCTCAACGCGTCGTGACCGTTCAGAGGAGTGATTCGTTATGCACGGTTTTGTCGAGCATGCGGAAGACCAAGACAGAGTCTGAGCACACATCCCAGCCTTTCTTCCCTGTCACTCTCCGCGGACTTTCCCGAGCACACATAAAAGGCGTTGGATGAACTTCTTTCTTTCTCCTTTCTGACACCATTCCTCAAGCCCTCGGCCTCAGTGACCACGCAACGTTTCCTCCTTACGCCCAAGTATCTGCTCTCTGCTCGTCTCAGGACATGAAGCTCTCTGAAACCCCCTGGGTAGGTCTCCTGTTCCTCATCCTTTTCTCAGTATCATTTCTCGACCTGTGTTTCTGCCTCAGCGCTATCACAAGCGTAGCTTCATGTTGCGGCATATCTCAGTCTCCGTGTCCTTTCTCAGCCTGTAATTCTTTTGCGACTTCATGTTTGAAGTGTGAAGTTCTGACACCTCTGCGCGCATAAGAGGCCTACAGGAGACATCGATAATCTAGGTCACGTTTTCATGAGCATAGAGAATTTCAGGAAGAAAGACCCTGCCGGTAAGTCATTGTATGCGTTCGTACGCCTTCTGGGTGACTATATGCGCTCCCAGACGTCGTCCTGCTACCTGCCTGGGACGTCCAAACATACATGAATGTTAATATGAGGACGCACACATGGAAGCACGCGACCCACAATACTCCCGTAAACCTCCCATCCGATGCGGGGCAGCGTGGTGATGTTCTCTCCGGGTTTATCGCTCCCGTCGAGTCCCCCGATTGGGACGCATACACCACACACTGCCAAGTCACAAAACAACGAATGCAGGCAATTATGGATAGTCTAGTTGGACATGATACGGATCCATTCCTGTCGCAGCTTCGCAACGCCATAAAAGATGCTGCAGGCACGGCGAGCGGTACTGCAGAAGAGGCTGGCGTGACGCTTTCGGGAGATATCTGGAAGCGGATCGCGGATGGCATAAGTGTGCTGTCTTGCAGCGCTCCTGATGACGGTTGGGGAAATGTACGCATCACCAGCACTCGCGCGTGACTCAACACTTACCATAGCGTCAGGTCTCAGATGTCTCCGTACTTGCACGCATCCGCTCACCTGCTACTCCCGGTTCCGTCGACGTGCGCTTTCACTTCCATCACCGCACGCGCATACACGGAGTCGATTACGACTACGCGCTCGCATCCCGTGTCAATGCGCATCCCACTCCGTCCCCATGTGCGTACAACAGTAACAACCTGGATATCGACAGTCGCTCTGCGATCACTGTGAGCGAACTTCGAGCGGCGCACGATGTGCCTTTCGGCGCAGCCCCTAGCAGCATGGATGTGACACTGGGCGGGGGCGTCGGGTTGCGCGAGATGGCGCTACTGATGCTGGCAAGCATTGGCATCAGTTTCAATGTCGCCTGGGACAATGAGGAGGCGGAAGACGACAATGACGGCTACATGGGGTCCGCGGGGCCTGGCGGTCTGTGCTCTGAGTTGGCCGGTCAGAAGCTGGGTCTTAGCGCGGCTCACTCACGCCAGGTCTGTGGTATCTTGCCAGTGACTGGTAACGGTAAGCGCGTCCTTTTGTCGGATGAGCCGTCCTGACGTGTCGTTTCAAACATGGCGGACTTCTCACGCGAGCAAGTGACCGAGCTACTAGATGGCTCGAAGGACGAAGATCGGGACTCAGATGACAATGACGACGATTTCAACTACGAGCGCCATCGGAATGATCGGGACGTAGAGGATTGCAGGCTGCAGTGAAGCGAGATCAAGACTTGCAGGAAGATGGCATTGGCGCTGTAAACATACATACAGTAAGTGGCTCCTATGTGGTTGTAACTATAATCGGCCTGGTCCGAGGGTTTGTACCTTCATCTATAATTCGTGGGAATCCAGAAAAGGCGGTCGATCAGCAGGCCTATTGAATTGCACGGAGAAGCAGTAGTCACGGCATCGGTGGAGCAGAATAAGTTCGAGCAAGATAAACACGGATGATCTCGCCCACATTTCCGGGCGCTCTTTTCTGTAACAAGATGCGCTCACAGAGCTTTTCCCGCATGCCTGATCGACGGGCCCCGGGTGGAAGCTCGAGAACTTGGTGAGTTTGTCCACACGAAGATGTGCCTCCGTCAGCACGTGCACGGAGAGGGGCGCGAACCCTGGCATGAGACCTCTGTCAGACCGCAGGCGACCACTCCGGCGGCCTACAGCTGGGAAGACCATGAATAAGGCCCAGGCGCATTCTCCACCTTCGATCACTGCGGCTTACTGTACGAGACCCATTTAGGGGGGCATGAGGTTCACAATGGACGCACGGCGGCAGGAGACGCATTCATATAGTATTGCACATCTCGTGCGCCATTCCCCACCTTCCAGTACTTGCCTAATTGTACCATGTTTCGTCTGCCTCAGACCGCCCAGCGCACGAGCTCTGTCTTCAGGCGTTCCTTTTCTACTGATCATGCTCGACTGACCTTCACGGGAGGGCCAACGCGACCAGTCTTGCTCCCACTTGTAGGTTCCGCCACTCGCGTGCCTCATGGACGACTCCTCGTGCGCGGCGCGGCGAGCTCTGTGTCAAACAAGCCTGGCTCGCAAACATTCAAGCAGGCTGCCCAAAACATCCGCGAAGAAATGGGCAATTCTACGACTGATCTCGCCAAGGCGATTGCGGGCGCGAACTGGTTTCAGGACGCAGTTGCACCAGAAGCAAAGAGAGACACATTTGTGAGTCATGTCGAGGCCAGTTCGATACCGCAATAGTCAGTACGACGTCTATGCAGCTTGGTATCACGAATGCTGTCGCGCACGCCGTCCCTCCCCAGTACATTGCTTTCGGTCTCGCGGGCGGCCTCCCATACATCGGGACGGCAGCAGCGACCATATACATGGCCCAACAAGCCGGTACGGCGACTATGGGTGCGTCCTGCATGCTCTGCACACGTTACAACGCGCAACTCACCGATGCACTATCAATAGATCTCGCCTCCCGAATTGACCCCGGCGTCGCGATCACGATGCTCGATCACGCGCTGAACATCCAGATGACTTACGGCGCGGTCATACTCTCGTTCCTCGGCGCGCTTCACTGGGGCTTCGAGTTCGCGGGCTACGGTGGATACAAAGGGTGCGCCTGCCTTGTATGACACATGCTATATGCAAGCGCTGACCAGAGGTCTCAACACGTAGGTATTCCCGCCTCTTCCTGGGGGCCGCGCCCGTCGTGTTCGGCTGGTCCACGCTCGCACTGCCGCCCGTGGAGGCGCTGATTGCGCAGTGGCTCGGCTTCACTTGCATGTGGTGGGCAGATCTACGCGCCACCAACGCCGGCTGGGGTATGACGTCTCGTGGGTCCTGAGGGCGCTATGAGTGCTGATATCCATATCGCAGCGCCGCGCTGGTACTCGCAGTACCGCTTCTACCTGTCGATCCTTGCGGGCACCTGCATTATCGGCTCGCTCGCCGCGACGAGTTATTACGGGCCTGTGGGCGGACACGGTCTGATCAGCCACGACCTTCTTATGGTGCGCCTGGCTTTCAGGAGTCCGCACAATGCGTCCTTCTAATCATCGTGTATTGGAGATCCGCGCAGAACGCAAGAAGAAGCAGCCCGAAAGAGAGGGTCTTGTAGCCGGGGATATCGAAGCGCTCGCGGCGCCCGACCATGCGGACTCGTATGTCGTCGTGAGGAAGCGACGTGCCCCGGACACAGGCAATAACGAGCAGGCAGCCACAGATTGAAGCTCCGCCATAATGTACCATCCCTGTTCCAGGAGACCTGTGTCGATGCCTGAGTAGCGAACGTAGCTGTATCACCATTATCAATGTGCTGGTAGTTTTTCTGAATATCCGGATAGCCACAACTGGAGGTCGGTCTCGCTAGATGCAAAACGATCGCCGATAGGGAGTCGTTCTCTACTATCCGGAATAAGAATGATTAGATATTCACACCAAGGTAACGCACTTGAGAACCAACGCGCTGCAACGTGCACAACGACCGCACTCGCTAGCACGCCACAAGACATGTGTTCACATCACTGTGATTCACGCGTCCCTGTCTAATGTCAGTGGGGAAATAGACCGTTTTGCGTGATGATATGGCACTGATGCTGCGCCGTACTCGTAGGCAAGGTTTAGCATGCCTTCTACGGAGAGATCACAACCTAACATATCGCTTCTGCGCAGCTACTTCTTCGGCAACGGCCCGAAGTCTATAAGAGTAGAGCTACTGGATGGTCCGATAAGAGTGGGCACCATCCCTCTCGCTATCGCTGTCCACTATACTAGCTCAGTGAGATTATACAGCAAAGTATGACCGACTGTCAAAGAGATCGTACGTTCTACCTCGAGGATATCATTCTGAGGGTAAGCACCTATACATGCAACCATACGACGCGCTGCGTAACCCAGAACATGGCCATTAGGTCGAGGACACGCTATATAAGGTGCCAAAAGCCCACCTCGAGAACGGATCGGAGCTGTTCCGTCAGATGTTCACCCTCCCTGTCTCAGAGGGGTGTTCAGCCGACGGAGCGAGCGATGGAACCCCGCTCTACCTTGAGGGAGTTGCAAAGACTAACTTTGCAGCATTCTTGAAAGCAATGTTTCCGCGGTACGCACTCACAAGCCTTGAAGAGGATCTCTTGTCTGAGACGTACCGGCCCAGACGTTTCCCTTTACGCGAAAGCTTGGCGGTCGACGAATGGGTGGCTGTGCTGAGACTCTGCGAGATGTGGGGATTCACCGACCTGCGTAAAGTTGCGATCAAGCGGCTTTCGGTTATGCGCCTGGACCCTGTGTTCAAGGTGTCTCTAGCCATGACCTACCACATTCCACGTTGGTTCATTCCCGGGCTGGTCGGCATTGCGCGACGGGAAAGCTCACTGGAGCCAAAGGAGGCAGAGCTGCTGGGATGGGATTGTGCGCTGAAGATCGCGGAAGTGCGCGGGAGCTTTCCTCCTGCAGCATGCTGTGAATGTCGATGCAATGTCGGGCATCTCATCTTGCATCCGCCCCTGTGTCCGCACCGTGCAGTCGAGCGATTCCGCCATGATTTCACGCCAAAAATTCTGGCAGTGTTTGGACCTGTCTCTGCCTATGTCTAGTCTCTGTAAGTTGTAACTGATTATATATAACATGGTGTGATACAAAGGATTATCAGTGAGGCACCAGCAGATCGCTTACGTAAGGAGATGCAGTGGCGGCGCCGTCGCTGGACGTCCGAGTGCGAGTGCGCGTGCGCTCTCCAGTCGTCTGCTCTGCCCCTTGTTGCGGCCACGCGCTGTGCTTGCACACCACTTATTCGAATACAAAATACATCAGTCGCCATGACAAAGAAAAAGACGGCAGCAGCAAGGAAGAAACAGCACGCCAAGGCCGCGGCTGCAACGAGCGGGCTAGCGGGGAGCGACGAGTATGTCAACCAGCACCACCAAAATGTAACCCTGTCGATAAACCTTTTATGACGCATAGCTACGAGAGCCCGCTCGAGAGCGAACAATCACCTACACCCGAGGTTCCCTCTCAGTCCGCTTCACCAGCAGACGAACCTCCAGAACCAGATGGCGCTGAAAAAGTCAAAGAGGAGGGAAATGCCGCCTTCAAGGCTGGCAGATTTAACGATGCTGTTGAGGCATATACTCGCGCGATTGGTGTGTGTCTGCTCACAGTGCATCACCATTGAAGTCTGACCCCAGTGGCGTCCGTTAGAGATGGACCCGACGGAACCAACCTACCTCACCAACAGAGCAGCGGCGTACATGGCCCTCAAACGCTTCAAGCCTGCTCTCACCGATTGCCAGCAGGCCGCCAACCTTCAGTCCGCCGTGCCCTCTCCCAAAACGCTCATTCGCCTCGCCCGCTGCCAACTCTCCACAGGCTCTACAGCACCTGCGCTCTCTACCCTCCGAACCGTGCTCGCCCTCGATAACAGGAACGCCGCGGCTTTGCAGCTGCAGAAGAAGGTCCTCGAGCTTGAGGCCCACCTGCGCAATTTCGAGGGCGCTCGCAGCCGCAAGGACTGGGGCATGGCACGCCTTGCACTCGACAAGTGCGTGCAGGCGATCGAGACGGAAGGCGGCGACATCCCGATTCAGTGGCGGCTCAATCGTGTGCAACTCGAGGTTGCGCGGGGAAATTGGGATGCTGCAGGCATCGCCGCAAGGTGCGCCTCTCTTTGCTCTACAGAAACCGGCTCCCCTGACGCCCCGAGCCGTGTAGCGATGCATTGCGGTTAGAGCCCAACTCTCCGGACGTCCTCGCGCTGCGAGGCCTGATCCTCTTCCTCACTGCCAAGACAGCGCAAGCGGCAGCACACGCGGCGTCCGCTCTTCGGCTAGATCCCGGACACGAAGCCGCACAGCGGTTGCGAAAACGCGTGAAGGACGTCGAGCGCTTGAAAGACGAGGGAAATACGGCGTTCAAGGCGAGTCGGTTGCAGGAGGCTGCAAACAAATATGGCGAGGCTCTCGAGGTGCGTAGCTCGCACCGAATCTACGACGAGCGCAGCTGCTCAGTCAGACCTAAACAAGCGAATTGGCAACGCGGAAGAAGAAGGCAAGGGCGGTCAGATGCGTGCCCTGCTGCTTTCCAACCGCGCTACCACTCTCGTCAAGGCGAGTGTTCCAGGCCTCGCCAATGTCACGCGTACTCACACCACTTAACACTACAGCTTGAGCGGCACCAGGACGCTCTTGCGGACACGGAAGAGTCCTTGCAGCTTAATCCAGGGTCGTTCAAAGCATTACGCACTCGCGCGCGCATTCACCTGCATCTTGAAAAATACGATACCGCGATCGCAGACTTCAAGGCTGCAATCGAGCAGGCCGAGTTCGAGGGCAACGACGCGGACGTGCGTGCACTACGCGGCGAGCTCAAGAAGGCGGAGGCGGCGCTCAAGCGCAGCAAGTCAAAGGACTACTACAAAATCCTTGGTATGGCGTCTATCGTTGGTGATGCTTAGGCCCTGGCGCTGATGATGCGATTATACAGGGGTCTCAAGAGAGTGCACTGAGCACGAGATCAAGAAGGCGTACCGGAGAGAAAGTTTGAAGCATCATCCAGACAAGGTACATCTCATCGCAGCGATCGTATTCACTGATTGTTGACGCCTTGTTCTAGGGCGGCGACGAGGAGAAGTTCAAACTCGTGGTCGAGGCGCACTCTGTCCTGTCCGACCCAGCGCGAAGAGAACGCTACGACATGGGCGAGGATGAGGACGGCATGGGGTCAGGCATGGGTGGTATGGGTGGTATGGGTGGTATGGGTGGCATGAGCCCGATGGACCTCTCCGAACTCTTCGCGCAATTCCATGGGGGTAGCGGGTTCGGTGGCGGCGGATTCGGTGACGGGAGCCCGTACTCATCGTTCGGGGGCAGCAGCCGGCGGGGCGGTTTCGCCTTCTAGGCATGTTCCGTCCGTTGTATGTTTGTCTTATAGTTCGTTTGCTGTCGTGCTCGCAATCAATCTTCCTGCATTCCATATCTCATGCATATTTGTGTACGTTGCGTTGTATGTTCTTTATTCTCTATTAGTTCAAGACTCACATTGAAGCTGGTTTGGTCAACGAACCCCCCACGGCGAGCTTCTTGGCGGCTGACGAGCGGTGAATCTCGACTTGGGTGGAGAGCAGGAGCCGCATCTGTGCAAGCGAGCAAGGACAATAAGAGTAACGATCGGTAAACGTGATTCATCAGAGCAACGATAGCTATACACAGCAACCAGACAACAAGGGAAAGGTAGTGCGATACTGGAAGAAATGAGAGGAATCAATCTAGACATCTTGTGCTACCTCGCCATAATGCTCTTCCGCTGTTCATGAGGTCGACTGCTGCTTTGCATAAACAATCATCAGTGTGATCCAGTTCTCGAACGTATGAATGATTCTTACGGGACTATAGCCGCTACTTAATACGAGCATCGGCGGTGAAGTGCGTTCATGATATCGCGAAGCTGTGAAGACAAAGTCGAGTGTATAAGCCTCCTAAGAGGCCGAGAAGAAACGATCGACATACCTCAAACATAATGAGAAACATAGGAATACCGCCGTTGTGCCAGTATTGAATGTAGGAACGGACCTTCCGTGTGATGAGTATCAGTGATTGTGAGCTACAGATAGGTGGTGGACGCACAATCAGATTCGCGCGTGCACGATCCTCATCCACGGGGTGGAAGCGATGAGTGCGACTAGAGCGGATATTTCTATACGGTGGCATTGAAGTCGAAAAAAGCTCGGGGATGGACGATAATATGGCGGACTGCTTGCGAAGAATTTATATGAACGAGAGGATAGCCATGCGTCCGTTAGGGAGGAAGCTCCCCGGTCCACTCACCTTTGCCCTGATCATGATGCTCGCTTGCTAAGCTAGGACGCCGTCTGGAATATTTCCCGAAGATGAGGTAGTCTCGAGGACATGAAGTGGTCGGTACGGCCACTTCGAACGGGGGATGCACGACGCAGAAACAATAAGCAATGGTATGACAAGCGGCGGTAGCGGATCCCTCGAGTTGGATTTATCCCATTGGGGAAGAGACTGCGGATGGGCGTTGGCAAAATGTCGCGTAAAGTGCCATGAACGACACGAGGTCTGCGAAAGAATACGCGCTTGCAGATGCATCATACACCCCTCGTTTCCACGATGGAAGATTGCAGAGCGTCAGGACGTCGCGTACTGCTTTGCTGCGACTAGTCGAGGCTGGTGGTTCGTCACCGGATAGAAACAGATAGAATACGACATCTATCGCATGTGCACTCTGCACCAATCACCTGAATGGCGAATTATCGAATAACGTGGGCGATGTACGGGCTGTATAGACTCCATGCAAGGATCATAAGCACCAGATTCACGTGTTTCACAGCCAGAGCGGTCACAGTAAGAGGAGCGAGCTGTGTCGCATATTCTGCCAGTACATATGATAGTCATGTAGCACCTGTCAGCAAATCCTGCTGTGGTAAAACTGGCGTACCAGATACTCCGTCACATAAGAGGTAAGCCGATCACTTACTTAACCTCCGACTGGTTCTTGGAGGGCACTTGGCGAGCATCATATTGACACATTCCACGGACCAATGGAAGTTGAATTAGATATATCGGAGCGCTGGCAGAGTGCGACCATGACGTGTATTGCCACCACTATTGTCAACGTGTCAGACATGAGGTTCACGGCAGGAGCGATGAATGATCCATAATCCCGAGAGCGCAAAGGACTCTATAGAATACATCTTTTGATGTAGGCGCAAATTCCAGACATACCTTATCCCACGAAACAAAGCCTCTTTGTAGTTGTCGTTCCTCCAAATGACGAATGTCCACTGTCTAGCAACAGCTTTCATCGATCAGACAACAGCGTACCTGATGAATCAAGGGTGGTGCGCGTGTACAAAATGCGCCGTAAGAGACGAAACGTGGCAGTAAGCGTAAACACGCCAGCGCTGACAAGAGAAGGATGAGATTTCGTGAGCGCTGTCTATACGAAAGCGAGGTGGGATCCGAGCATCGGCAAAAAGCACATGGGTTTATGAGAAAGTCTGAAGTACATGCGCCTTGAAGCTTACCATGAGCTTCCTTAGACTACCAGGACGAGCTGGCGCGAGGCTATGCTTGGAGAAAAGCGTTCAATAAACCTTAATCTGCGAGGGTGTCTCGCGGCTGGTAAATGATTAACATCCACTGACCGGTTTACTAGTAAAGTAGAGGCCATGGCTGCTTGTACGACATGTCTCACACAGATCTTGTCGTTGGGGTAGATCATCATCCTGCGACTGGGCTTCGGCCAAAAAGATGGACAACCTCGATACAGTGCTAAAGGTACCCAGAACACGTCAGCTAGAGATCACATCATTGTAATGAGCTGGCAGAATACTGCGATATCAAAGGGTAACGCCATCTTCATCATTGCCGCGTCGAACGAAGCGATGGCAGTCGCCAGAGAGCAACCCGTTTTTAGTACGTTCTTGTATACTGTAGAAGGAGATGGTCTCTTGACGGCTGAAAGAATCATGTCCGTGGTCTGGGCTTGTGCTTTATGGAAGCCGTCGTGAACAAAGACCTCATCTGTCCTAGTCGATGAGTCGGGCAGGCAGCTGACTAACGACACTCACAGTAGCAAGCAGAGACTGTTCCTTATCAAGCTTGAACTGTTTGAAATCGGAGAGCAGATTTCGCGGATCGGCGTTTGCGTGCACAACCACTGCGTTATTTAGCTGTCGATGGCTGGCTGGCGACATAAACTGCACTGGCCACGTTAACCCGCTGCTCTCAATCAACAGTGGACACAGATTCTGGACGTTGCCACCAGCTGCGGTAGAGAGTTGACGCTTTGCATTGCCTTGCATGCCGTACCGCAGCTCCAACCCGCGATTGTACAGCGTGCTCGACACCGGGATGTTAGTTAGTCATGTTACCGGCCAGACAGTGGTGCTAACGCGGCAAAAGACATACCCTGCTGAGATGTGCGAGTCTGTTAATTTATGACGTCACTATTGTCATACAGGGTCATCTCCTCTCTGAAATATTATGGAGCACACTGGCAGAGAACATGATGTTGCAAAACTGCGTGAATGACCAAGTATTGAAACCTTCTGAAGATGAGATATGAAGCACATGAGCCTCTGGAATGAAGTCTGAAGTAACTTCCTCCATGAGGGCCGCAACATCAGAACTTAAGTTAGGATTCCTAGTCATGAGAGGGCCATATCCGTCGTAATCATCAAATTGCAGGGTGCGACTCATTCGAAGGAACAGGCACGTGACTTGAAATTGAATATCGCCGCGGCGCGCGGGAACCTCGAGGCGCACCTCTCACGTCGCTTTCCATCCACAATATTCGTCTACATCGCAACAGCGGTCATTCTTGCAAGTGCAGCAGCTTAAGTCAAGATACATGATGGCTCGGAGAGACAGACCACCGCGGACAACTCAAGACAGGGTCTTGAAAAGTACGTTCATGTATTCTGTTGCTGCGCCATGATATATCACGAATAACTCCCAGTAAGCCACTACAAAATCCCACTCGCCCAGATCTTTGCACCGTTACTTGAGATGGAGAAAGAAAAGGTTCCGTTTAGTCTTTAACATCCCAATCGTCGTCAAACTCGCTGACTGATAACATAGGAAAAGCAGCGTTCTACGCTTAATCTGACTACCCTCAACGAAGATGTTCTGCTAGAAATACTTGAAGAATTATCTCCGCTCGATGCATTCAACCTTTCTCTGACCTCCCGCTTGCTCTACCCGATCGCCAGATGCCGTGCTCTCTCTGCCATAGAGCTTCGCACGCAACAGCAGCTGGTATCATTCTGCGACTTCATGCTCGATGACATTGACAGCAGGTTGTATTGGCTCCGTAGACTTTGTGTTCGTCTGCGCCACCATGCGTTGCCTGAGTCTTTGCTGTCGCCACCCATGCAACGCCTCGCTTCACTCCTAAAGCGCGCCACAGGCCTCAGACATCTGGAAATTGACTGCCTTGATCTTGCCATAGATATCGAGCCTTATGTGGGCCGTACGCTCGAAGCACTTTCTGGCCTTGTCTCCCTGAAGCTTCTCAACGTCAGTCAGCACTCGCTCGGTGTTCTCAGCCGGTTACAAGCCCGCGTTCAACGACTGAGCGTCCACATGGCATTCGGTGCCGACGGTGACAGTCTGCTCCCTACCATCTCCAGGTTTACAGCTTGTGAATCCCTCTCTCTCGAGCGTGTATTCATCGAGTCTATCTCTTCCTCCGCCTTTCCTGCTGTGCGAGAACTGTCGCTATGCGGATGCTATGTCCCTCTCTCCACTCTCCGTGCATTCTCGCACCTCCGTGTGCTCCGCCTCGAACAACATATCCGTTGCCCTGATCCACTTGTGTCTTCCGCACCGTGCTGGTCGCATCTGGACTACCTCGAGGCGCACACAGACTTCGCACGCCACTGGCGCCTCGGTTGTCCTATTTCGCACGTATCGCTCGCATCTGTGATGGGAAGCCCAGCACGTGTGCTGCGCGCGCGACGTGTCCCGAGTACACCGGAGTCGGTAGTACTCCTTCGCCTCGTGAGAGACTCGCGGCCTATAGTGCTCGACTTTCGCATCATGGTGGGCGAGCAGTTGTGCGATGATTTCTGGCAGAAGATGATCCGATACATGCCGAAACTGAGGAGCCTCGAGATTGAGTTATGCTCATTTGAAGGGCAGGATAACCTGCTAACGCACGTGCTATGGCTGGTATGTCCACTGATTGGGTGGTATTCATCCGTCTAATGCTCATTGCAGGATGCAATGGCGGAGCAACTGCGCTCTCTCCGCTCACTTATGTACATTGGGGTATGCATCAATTCATCGATTGTGCGCCACAATCACGAAGGCACCAAGGTACCCATGCCGAAGGACTGCGAGACCGCACGCAGCCTTGCAGCGAAATTGGCTGCAGTGATGCCTTCTTTGAAGTGCGTACTGTTTGGGTTCGGCTCGCGCGCCCAAGATGCGGGGCGCTACGCCCATCTCTTCCGGGGTGACTTCTCGTGGTGGAAAGTACTCCGGGTACGGGGTATGTCAGGCTCGCTTGTCCCTCTGTCTCCTCAGCGAGGCGAGAAGGTCAGAGCACTGCTGCGCTCTCCTCCATATGAGGAACCTGTAAGCATTAACGGTATGTGTCGCTTCTAGCTATCCTTGTATAAATTGTGGGCTTATTTAAGGATGCATCCAAAACGTCATTTCACTGGCGCATGACTCCAATTAGATGATCAGCTTGAGAAGGTTAACCTCACGCGATGCAGTATCTTGTACCCATGATTCGTCCGGGTGTCATGAATGAATGACTTTCAGTTCTTCATTCGTTCATCGGTCGATCTTTGACTATAACTGCGTCGCATTTCTCTTTACTAAGCGTGTAAATAGGGGCTTTATAAATATGAGAGCCTGGGGCGTTCAGACCATCAACTGATCGACGCCTGAGTGATCACAAAGACATGCAAGGCGGAATTGGGGGACATGTCTATCGGCGACTATTGAAACTTAGGAAACGGAAGATTACATTATACCATAAACTTGCAACCCATGCCAGGAAAATCAGACGCGGCGGTGAAGTAGATATGCCAATGAGTTGAAAGAGAACAGACGCTTCAAGGCCTTACCTTCCCGTCCTGGATGCATCCGCTACACTGCGTGGTCAATCTCCCCGGATCGTCACTGGTTACGGGCGTTCACAACAGGAAGCGTCTCCTGAGGGGCACTAGCCTGCAGGACTTCCGCGACTAAAGCCCCGAGAACCGATGCTGTATGCCTAGTCCTGAAATATTTGATGATTTTTTATAATGTTTGTCTCTGCTCCATCGGAAAATCTTGTCCACGAAATGACCGCTTTCAAGTGGCAGCGTGAACGGTGGCGACCATCAAATGACTATCTAATCTCGATCATAACAATGATCCCGCGATCTAATCTAGCGATCTCCGAATGGTGTTCTTGAGGTCTTCACGTTGCACATGCACACCATAACAACACATGCAACTCTTAACATCTTGTCGTCCTGCTGGGACAAGCTTTCTCCTGTACGCCGCGTATAATTCTCGTTCACTCAGCATTCAAGGGTGTTCCTGGATCTGGATTCTTGACTACGTCATGAGAGCGCGCATTGAGTGTGCTCCGAGTCGAGTCGTGCTAGAATCATAGACCTTTTTCCAATGCCAGCGTCTTCAGTTTTTCCTCAACTAGTGATACAAATATAACACTGAAGTTGACTCGAACTGCCACTGGCGAGTTCAGGTGAGCTCGAACCAGGCGTCTATTTCAGTGGCGTTGTCCTTGCTTTGACCGTCGGTGCATGCGGTTGGGGCTTTGTTATTGTTCTCTTCATCAGTGGCGAAGATGCTGTCTTTTAAATCATCTTCTCTACCTCGACTCATCCTGTGATTCCTGTCGTCCCTCATGGTCGTGAGTGCAGTATTACGCTCAGCATTCAATTGCATTCTCTCGTCGCTGCGAGACGTCGTCTGCGATACGATTGCAGCATTCGAACTTGGACACCATCGTGATCACAACTCTTTATCCTCGCATTGCATCCTGTTTTCCTCTCAAAAGGTTTACAACGCCACTCGTCGATCCTGCGAAGGTTTCGAAAATGCAAGAAGCATCCCTGTAGACCAGTCTATTGACGATGACGAATTTGCATGGCACCAATCCGCCTTACGAATTGCGATGAATTTAGGCCTGTCCTCTAACAACCTCACCGTTTCTCCTTTACGCTCGGTGCACATCCCCGGCGTGCTCGTTACAGGCCTTCCTGCCTCTCTTTGTCCAACTTTTGTCCTTGCACACTATGTTCACTGTGTGACAGAGATCCATGCTTCAGATCTGCACGCCACAGGCAGAGAATCCACTACATACCCTGCAGGAACTCGAGACGGACCTTCGGAACTCAGCCTCAGCGGAGAAACCCTGCACGACGAGAACGCCTCGCCCCTCTGCTCACATTCCTCTCAATCAAATGTACACCGCCGACTGGACGTTAGCTCTTTATCACCTGGTACATATAACCGCGAAAGCAAGCCCTCTAGATCCACCGCTCCCCAGCATTCCGCGAAGGCCCAAACTCCCGCAGGCCCCGCATCGCCAGCGCACACCGCAGCACACCACTTCATGCTTCGCGGTCCCACCTCGACCGTCGTCGAATCACTCGAGCCGCTTCCAACCAGGCTCCAACCTACAGAGGCCCCCGTGTACGCGTCTCCATCCGATACCGAATATGGATCCGAGTCCGACTGCAAACACGGGCGGAATGGCGCGAACGTGGACGCGCATATCTTCGACAAATATGAGATCGACGATGATGTGGACATCTACATCCACATGGCACCGCTGCCGCCGGACGCAGACCCTGTTGGCATCCTCCATAGCGGCCGCACACGCTACCGTCTTTATGGTCTGCTCGGTGACGGCTCATTCGGTCGCGTATTCCTTGCTGAGGCCGAGAATGATACGACAGGAGGTGGGGACGAGGGAAGTGTGTTTGTTGCGGTCAAGATAATCGAGAAGATCTCTCTGGGGGATGTGGAACACACGGCAGGGCTGGTGGAGAACGAGGTAAGGCTCATGGGCATGGCTGTCGGCGGGCTCCAGCGGGATGGCGAAGCAGAAAAAGGCTGGGAACGAGGCGCGGCAGAGGATCCTAATGGGAAAATTGGGGGTGTGCAGAGCCCATTCCTCGCCCACTTGCTGGAGTGCTGGGAAGACCCGGACAATGTCTACCTCGTCATGGTTCGTGTGCCACTCCAGCGTATAATTTTCTGCATAGTGTATACTAACAGCCGGACCCCTCGCAGAGATTCTATCCACGGAGTTTGCACAGCTTGCTCAACGAGGTTGAGTTAGAACCATACCAAACAAAGCTCTATTGCGCACAATTGGTGCGCCCTACTTAGCCGCTCAAAGCGAGTTTATGTGACGCTAACACTGCTATACTACTTTTACTAGGCACTCGCGCTGCACGACATGCACACGCGCTTGCATGCATTCCACCGCGACATCAAGTCGGGAAACGTACTGATCGACTTTCGCGGAAACCTCGTGCTCTGTGACTTTGGCGGGGCCCATTTCCCGCTATTCCCTCCTTCAGTGATGCCCTCAACCGCCGTGTCCTCCTCTCTACCGTCTCCTCCCTCGTCTCCTCCTCCCGCTAACATAGAGGCCAATTTAGACGCAGCGTTTTCAGCCGCTGTTGCCTATGATCGACACGGCACTACTGGCTACTTCGCACCTGAGCTGATTGCTCGCGACCTTGCGAGCCGGGGATACACTGCCAAGGCCGACGTGTACAGTCTCGGCATGACTTTCTGGGAGATGATGACTGGGAGCCTCACGCCTGATTACGACTCCCTGCCAACGTACTTGAAAGCACGCACCCTACTCGAGGACAACATCGAGTGGATGCAGGACGCGGAGGCGATAGACTTGATCACCAAGGTGCGGCGATCAGGCTTTTACCTTTTGGTGTCAGGCGGGAGAGCTTATATCTGACATGGTTTACCTCGTAGATGCTTGACGAGGACCCAAAGACGCGCCTCTCGATACAGGATATTCTCGCGCATCCATATTTCTCCGACGTTGATCTTGAGGCCTTGCGCGACGGTTCGTACGACAGTGAGTGCGCCTCGCTTCCTATGCCGCAGGCAAATGCCGATTTGAATGAATCTACAGTGCCATACAAACCAGACCCTATCCCGCGTTGTTATGTAGGAAATACTTTGGCTTTTTTCGACTATGAGCCATCATACCGAGGACAATACTTCACCTCGTCCTGGCGCTGCGCCCCAGAACGGGTCCGGGACGCTCGTCACGGAGAAGCGCATCGCACCCCACCTGCTGCATGATATATCACAAAGCCTATAGATGCGTCGTAATTTAGACGTCATAGGGAGTATCAGCAGAACCCTTGCCTCAGTGTAAACTCGTATTATATCTTCACTCAAAACCTCGCCTCCGCTCCAGTGCTCTCAGGATATACCCCGTCTTCACAAATCCTGTTCATAGCTAGCCAAATAGATAGAACTTAATGTCAACCGCGCCCACGCGATCGCGAACGTATGGCAAAGTATTGCAGTCTCATTAAAATTCAGGTGAGAATATGTAGCGATAAGGAACCTGTTGTGGCATAGCCCGCGCGCCGACGGCATGCATTCAAGTACATTACTGTACATTGTTCTCCAGAGTCCAGAATACATACTAAGACAACAACATGGGCTCATTTCATACGTTCGGACATGAGAAAATGTCAGGCGAGCATGAAATAGCTCTACGCCATTCCAGTAACAATGGAAATATGAGAAAATAAAAGGACTGTCGGGGCGGCCAAGTAGCAATTCATCACGAACAGCCCGAGGCGGAGGAGCCAAATGATACCCCGTCGAAGTACGGCCCCAGGTGGTTCTGGATGTCGCTATCCAGCAGCTCCGTAGAGTCCGAACAATGCTATGTTACAACGTCAGTAGTGATGGACAGGACAAATAAATGATGCGGCATGCCTCGTTCTCTTGCCCAGGGCATTGCACCATCGTCGCGTTGCCCGTACTCGCACTCACGGTGGTTATATGAGCCTCGCCCGCCGGATGCACGAACGAGAGGAACTGGGGAGGGACGGTCGGCACGGGGTCCTTCTGATTTGTGACGTGCGCGAAGCTCGGGAACTGGGCACGATGATAATGATCAGCAGCAGAGCCAAAAAACGCGACAGACGCGAAACCATGAAGCGCACCAGGCTGTCGACAAGGGACGCCCATTGAGCATTCCCAACGCGCGGAAGGCCAAACACGACGGAGTTGATCGCGACGTCGTTCGGCAGCGCCATCTTGAGCATTACCGCGTCAAGAGAGGCTACGGCCGCACCAAGTGAGTGACCCGTCACAAGCACATTCTTGTAGCCCGTTGAGGCCAGTGCACTTTGCACCGTGGAAAGGATAGTATCGGCTGTTCGGCCCTGCGTGTCTTGGAAGCCGTCGTGGACGAGGGTGTCATCTTGCAGAGAATGGTGGGATCAAGGCTGACGCCGCATGATATGGAAGCGACCACTTACTTCCAGCGTTCGGGAAGAGGGTGCTATTGAGATTCACTTGGGAGAACTCGATGTCATTCAACACTGATAATAGGTCGGCTGGGTCTGTGCCCTCGTGGACCACGACAATGCTCTGCGACTGCGGGTCGCTCGCAACATAAACTGTACTATCTCGATCAGTGGTGCTGTCGTTCGAGTTACGAAGACACGCACAGAATGGGATGGTACCCTGGTTTCCGCCTGCGGTGAAGACTTGAATACCAGGCAGTGCATTGCACGGGGCTCCACAGGTCCAGTTAACAATAGTGCTGGTTGGGCAATAGGCGGTACGGGCGAAAAGCGCGGGCCGGAGGAGATCTGTAGTAATCGTGCTCTGTGAAACAGGGGTTGGAGTGCCGTCTGCCTCTGTGTCGTCGCCAAAATGAATACCAAAGAGGGGAATTGGAGCTGCAAGCACCGGAGAAAAGAAGGTAAAGAAGGCTGGAAGCGCGAAGAAGAGAGCGAACATGGCGAGAGGCGACAGAAAAGGCCAAGAGGCGGGCGACCTAGCGCGGAAAGCGAAGAAGGCAAAGAAAAAAGACCACCGGGGCCAAGCAGTCCTACAAAGACTCGGTGGGTCGAAGACAAGGCAACGGGAGATGAAGAGTGAAGGACTCGCATTATGTTTATATTGAGAATGATGGCTAGGTACATCGCGAGGAGACACTGCCGCTGATTTGACGACAACTGAATGTATGTCCAATGGCACCTCGACGTCGGGGATAACGACGGTGTGGTGGCATGTCGACGTGATCATCGGTCGTGATCGAAGCCCATCTTGAACAGATGCCAGAAGAAAGTACTCCCATGCTGTGCCTCAAAGTTGATGTCGACGTGTACAACCCCCAAGTCGCCACAAGGCTCGCACGTTGGCTGTGAGAATAAAGTGCTCGGTAAAGGCTCGGCAAACACCTGGAGGTAGATGACAATGTTGACATGCGACCCAGGACGCGTCCGCTTGAGCTTGAGGCTGTGACGCGGACGACGATCATGGACGGGTAAGCTATCATATACTTTTCGAGAGAATGCCTGGGGAATGCAGACACATGCAACTTATACGCGTGCGATACATCGCCGCTGCCAAGAGACTTCACCCTATGCCCTCTCGCCAGAACCAGCTGCTATACTCGCGCACGACGCCGCGGATTTGGATACCAAGGCCATACGGTAGCAAACAACAGGCTTGACAACAACATCGCACCGTAACGCCGCAGATCTCTTCACGTGACTTCACGCGGGAACGGCCAATGGCTACGCCACAATGATTGACAGGAGCTGAACAAAAATAACGTTCAAGCATTCCGATGTTGTACGCATGTAAAGCAAAGGTTGTATTACTTCTGCTCATAGCCGGTTCTTGTGCTCTGCGACTCCCGTCGCTGTCGATAATCTATGGCTATGTCCTCACGCGCGTCGAGGTGATTTGTCTGGAGCGTTGCTAGATGGCAGCTCAACTATCGCGCTTGGACGCCGTTCATTGTACGCAATTTGTCATTCGGCCAATCAATGGAAGATTGTAGCGCTTTGCATTCACATCCTAGTCGTGCTCAGGTATGACATTTGTCTATGTCGCTGTATACGAATTTGACCAAATGAATTTCAATAAGGGGTAAACTGTTATACATAATCATACTTGTATAGAGGCTAGCGAGTCGGGAAAGCCCTGGTGCTGCATATGGGAGTATCCGAGTGGCGCCGGTTGTGACACTATTTTAACGCAATCCAATCCACGCGCGAAACGAAGAATGCTCTGCGGAACACTAGCAGAAGTCCATGTTGCCCCGGACGTCGCGGCAAGTGCAGCAAAAGCCCTAATTTCCTTTGTCCATGGGCTCTGACACATTGATGAGTACAACAATGTGCTATCCTGAGAGAAGCAGAGCGATCGCAAACGTACCGTCGAGGTCCATCGTCTTGAACAATCGAGCATCGCAAAGTTTTTCCAACAGTTCCTCGCCGACTTCAAACGACATATCCTTGAGCACCCTGCCACCCGGCGTGTTCTGGGCGCGCCACCAACGGCGCCAGCCACACAGATCATCTTCATGGCCTCGAAATACCACGCTACCGCATTCAGCCGACAGGTAGCGGACGGGTTTCGCCGTCGCAATAAAGCGGGAAAGATGCGCTCGCAAGGGTGCGACATCCCAGCCCTCGGCTTTGTTAAAGCGGATTCTGACGCACATCACTCTCGTTGCGGCGAGAGCGTTCGCAAGGTCAAGCTGGGTCCGATCATCAGATACGCACAATGGCAAACATCAGAGCGCGCACTCACCAGCCACAGCAAGTAATCCTCCGGTGTTTCCTGTCTTTCGCTGTCGCATTCCACGACGACATCAAGGCATCGCAGATTCGGCGCACGCTGCATAAGCGACGTCCAAAATGAATGGTCTATCGCCGAGTCAGACCTCAGAGAAAGAATTGCGGGAGAGACCTTCTCTATAGACAGGAGCAAGTTCTCAGTATACTCCACTAGCAAGAGCCGGAGGTGATGGACGGAACGAATGGTGGTGGGGAGCAGCGACCTCGGGATCGTCGAGACGCGATCGAGGACTTGCCAGTTGGAGTTGTCACAGGACGTCGTCCACAATGATTTCTCTGACACAGCGAGGTTGCGCAGGCCCGGAAACACGCGTGCACATATGTGCATGGGCACGGCGCCGCGTAGTAGATTGAGAGTGCGCACGTTAGGCCAGCACGCTGTGATTCCGTCGCCTTTGCGAGGCTGAGGGAGTGGTCCCGAGAAGACATCTTCTTCGGACGGCAACCACCGGACATGGCAGAGCTCGAGCTTTTGGACGTTGGGGGTGGGGCGGAACTGAGAGAGCAGATCGTGCCAAGTCATCGTGCCAGGCTCTAAGAATAGCACGACATTGCGCACTGAGCTACTCAGGCGGCTGATGAGGTTGAGCGCAAGTGGACCCGCGCCCGTGAACTTTACGCTGACGAGATGTTTGAGGGCCAGTATCGCATCGCCATAGCGAGGTTCATGTTGGAGTAGCCCCTCGAGCTTGTAGATTTGAAGCTCGCGAAGGTTCTCTGTGCGGAACAGTAGCTGAGCACAAGGGGCGAGTCCTAGAGTGCTTGGGCAAATGTATGACATTTCGCATGCGGTGTATGACAGGCGGACCTGCAGATTCTGTATATAGGGCAAGTAGGCGGGAAAGTCAACGAGCATGTGGGTACAGAAGCGGGTGATGTGAGTGGCGTTCAAGCTGAGAGTGATGGAACAGAGGAATGCTTGCAGAAGTGAGAATGGACGGAGTCGCTTGGATACGAGGGAAAGATTGAGAGCGTCTGGTTGTGCGAGGAACGGGGTGATGGAGAGAATGACATCGTCGGGGAGAACCTGCAGGTTGTTTGTGGAAGGCATGTCTGCGGACGAGGTGTGAGTGCCACTGTCTGCAGATGAGTGCAAGGACAAAGACGCACGGTGCGGCCAGCCGCGCGTATGTGAGCGTGAGCACGTGACAGCGTGGACGCCTTGGTAACCCCGTAAGGCAAGTGTGGCGAGAGAGGGACTTACATCCGTCCAAGACCCTGAGAGACCGCCGACTGTGTCAGCATTCTAGCCACCGTCCCCGCTATTATATATCAGCAAACATGCCCGTTGAGGACGGTCAGATCAGCAGCCCTTCTCAAAGCAGCATTGCCCCTCCCTCATCACCATGGCCGCTCCCATGAAGGCTCTTGTCGTCCAGGAGGTGCCTTCTTCCCGCCCCAATACACTGCACACTTTCGCTGATGCACCGCACAGGACAAGACCGTCGCCGTCCTGGACCACCCAGTCCCCGCCGTCGGCGATGATGACATCCTCTTCCGCACCGTCGCCGTCGCGCAGAACCCCACCGACTGGAAATGTACGTCATCCGCACCCTCTGCCCGCGCTCCCACTCGTTCACTCACCGCGCTCGCCGCACAGTCGTCGACCACGTCACGAGACCCGGCACGATCCTCGGCTGCGACTTCTCCGGCTATGTCGTGCAGGCCGGCAAGAACGTCGCGTCCCCCGCCGTCGGCGACCACGTCGCCGGCTTCGTCCAGGGCGGCACCTTCGTCGACAGTGGCGCCTACGCCGAGTACATCCGCACGCCCGCCGAGCTCGCCTGGGTCGTTCCGCAGGGCACGCTCTCGCACGAGGAGGCCGCCACCTTCGGCTGCGCGTGAGTCCCCATCGTGCCCCTCGCCGCCGCCGTGCTCACGCTGTGAACGCGACACCGCCCGCACAGATTCTGGACCGCCGTGCAGGCGCTCTTCCACCCCGCCCGCCTCGGCCTCGTCGCGCCCCCGCTCAAGGTCGACGCCCCCGAGTGGATCTTTGTCTACGGCGGCAGCTGTACGTCCCCGCATCCTGGCCTGCCCTCCTCCCTTTCCCCTGCCCACTGACGCCCGCCCCCCGCGCGCCGCAGCCTCCGTCGGCCAATTCGCCATCCAGCTGCTGCACCTCGCGGGCTACAAAGTCGCGACGACCGCGTCCCCACACAACCACGCCCTCGTGCGCGCGCTCGGCGCGGACGTCGTCGTCGACCACAGCGCCGGCGCCGAAGCCATCGCTGCGCTCAAAGCCGCCACCGGCGACACCGTCACTGCGGCGCTCGACGCCATCTCGCTCCGCAAATCGCAGGAGTTCACCGCGCGGGTACTTGGGCCGCGCGGCGGCAAGGTCATTCTGCTTCTGCAGCCCAACCCCGAGGCGCGCGTCCGCGAGGACGTCGTCTTCCAGCGTGCGTCCGCGTCCTCCCGTCCTTCGCTAGCACAGCTGACCCCCATGCCCGCCCACAGACACGCTGATCTACACCGCGCTCGGCCGCGAGTTTGCGCTCGCGACACTCTATCCCGTGTCGGCCGCGGACTACGCGCACATGACTGCGTTCCTGCGCATTGTGCCCGCACTCGTGCAGACAGGCGCGCTGCGGCCGAACCCCGTGCGCCTCTGGGAGGGCGGGCTCGCCGCGGTGCCGGACGGGCTGCAGTATATGCGCGAGGGCCGGGTGAGCGGCGAGAAGATCGTGTACCGCGTGGCCGCATGAGTGCGCACACGCGGGGGGCGGGTGCATGTCGAGAGAACGAATATGTGTGCTAGATTCAGTGTAGAGGCTATCGTGTAATACCACCACGTTATGGCTTGCCGTTGCTGGCACACTTGCGTTTACCGACATTTGCGTGCGCACAGCGCACAGCAGCACCAATGACCATTCAAATCACGACCGCGAAAGAGACAAGAACGAACACGACGACAGCGACGACAGTTACTCGGTCTACGGTATGGCACTAGTGTATACGTGGAGGGAGGGAGTCCATGAGGTGTAGGCAAAGCATACGTACTCTATCTACAGGATTCATTGTACACATATATACTGGATGACAAACGGTGAAGGCAGAGAAGGAGATGAGTATGGCACACGTACGGATCGTGCGGGTCGTCAGAGCAATAGTACAGTATTAGAAGGCGAGGAAGCAGTTGATGTGTATATAGAAGCGTAGATACTCAAAGCCTGATGACGGCGGAATGCCGATTTTCGTGGCGGGACACTTTGATGACAGCCAGTCAAAATCAGCGGTCAGGCACAGACTCAGGACGCGAAACACAGGGGGACGTGCACGCACCTCAGTTGTCCTTTGGGGCGTCGTCGCACCAGAAGCGGCCTCCGTCGACGGGACTGGGGTAGTCGACCTGCATGCGTGTGAGGCGCTCGCCACAGCGCTCAATGGCAGGCTCATAGCCAGGGCTGGAGGGGATGGCGCCGGACAGGACGTCGGCCATGTCTTCGTCGGGCGCAAGGGACGGCGAAAGCGACGGAGACGGCATAGGCACAGACAGAACATTATCGAGAGTATATGCGCGGCGTGCAAGAGGCCGGCGCGAGGGCGGGGTGGAGGGGGGCTGGGTCGTCGTAATGGAAGGCAGCGGCAGAGCAGATGGCGGTGGCGGCAGCGGGGCCGTCGGTGCGGGCGCAGGGAGCGGGGGCGCGAGAGTGCGTGACGCACGACGCGCGCTGCTACAGACAGACAGGGTGTGAGGAAACGACGCGAAGAGAAGGCACGTACGTGGAACTCACCGGATGGCAGCGCCGCCGAGGCTGCCGCTGCGCATGCGTGCTGGCAGAGGAGGCCGTTCGGACGATGGAGGGCGGGAGGTGGCGTCGCTGCCAGAGCGAGTGCGGGAGACGAGGAGAGACTGGCGTGCTGCGCGCGGTGCGGTGGTCTTGATGGACGCGAGCGGGGACGCGTTCGTGCTGAGGGAGGAGCGTCGACGGCGGAGGGTGGGGCGTGCATTTGCGATGGCCTCTGCGACGACGGGGAGGGTGGTCGCACGTGGGACAGCTGCGCGGGAACCAAAAACAAAGGCGGTGGGCGTGGTGTCGGGGTCGACGAGGAAGGGGTCTGCGGTCTGGCGGGGAGTGGCGGGCGACGACTCGGGCGGGGCGTGCTCGTGGGCGAGGAGACCGGAAGAGAAGAAAGAGGAGTAGAAGGTGGCCATGGCGGGAGTGACGATGGTTCACCTCAAGCCGCAGCCCCACTTGGCTTCAAATACAGCAGGCACGCTTCCCTTTATGGAAGTACACAAACATCGCGTCCACCGCCAAGCCTATCGCGTCGTCATGTCATTTCTGACATACAACTCCTTTCTGAAACACCTTTCGTCCCCGCGCACTGACGTCGTTGAGTGACAATGCCATTGTCCGCTGCGAGTCAGCGACATTGGCGGCAACTAGTGTCGATATACCCTCGGCGACACTCTCTGCCACCGCCTTCATCGTGTCCGCGTGCGCCAAGTCGACGTTTAGTACCCAGAGACCGCAATCATGAACAGTCACGCCGGCTGCTCACCCTGGCTGAAAAGTCCCCAGGCGCATCTCCACTTCCTACGCATGGGGGCTTACACTGGTCCGAGCAGCGGAGGACTGCGAGCCTTGTGGTTGCCCTTCTCGAGAGCGCCGTCAACCTGACCTCTTTGTCTGTCTCGAGGACGTCCCAGCTGTTGGCGATAGATCCACGTGCTGTTCCGCTTGGTCCCGACTACGCCAATTTTATTTGTCTTTGCTGAACTCTCAACAGTCGCTGGGTGTCTTCAGCCGGCCTGTATATCTGGACCTTGTGGTGCCCAGTAGTGCGACTTGCTACGTCGACCTCCTATCGAGCCTCGCTGCCCAGCAGATGGTCAAGAGTGTGCGTCTAACGCGACTTGTGTTTCTGTCCGAGGATGTGTCGAGGACCGATTGTACGTGGCCTTCTGTGGACGAGCTGCTTCTTAACTACCAGATCTCGATGTCTATGATCCTCCATGCATCCCCCAGCATGTTGCAGCTCCACCCCCGATATTCAAGAACCTTGACACTACCTCGTCACATTGGTGCACCCTGGACTACTTGCACTTGACTCTGCGCTCATGGACATCCTGGAGACCTGCCTGCCTGCCTGGTGAACTATCTCTGCTTGACGTCGATCGTTGGCCTGTGCAGTCCGCCTCTCCAGAGGCTTTGTGGCAGGCGGATGTAGGGTTAGGTTCGTGGTGTCGAACTGTCGCTGAAGGACTTGTTGGCTGACTCGGATGACTTGGGTGGAATGCCGTCCACCTCCCAAGTTTCGCCTTATTTATAGGCTCTTCAGATCCGCTTGGTCAGCAGCTACCAGAAAAGGTAGGGTTGCCCAGTATGGGGCATGTCAGCAAGGACTCAGTGCGAGAAAGAACTTGCCATTGGACTTGTAGAATGAGACGATTCTTGAAACCGTCATACTGATTGCTCATCGGCCCGGCATAGGCCCGTGTTAGTAAGCTACATCAGCAGAAATGACTCAACCTTGTTAGTAACAGAGTTTAAAGAAGCTTGGCCACCTTCTGCCGACAGAACGCCGTAGCGGACCGCCGGAGAAGCATACCTTACGGACATCCCGAAGGCACCGTCCGCTTCCACTTCTATCAAACCTTCGAGATTAATCCGGACTTCTTGCGAAAGAAAACTTCTATGATCCGTGATCGGATCAAAGAACCCGGACCCTTCTAGACCATGTCATGTGACCATGACATCATATCACGTGGTCTTCGACGTCATGACCATAAGCTAGGGTTAGGTTAGGTTAGGTTAGGTTAGGTTAGGTTAGGTTAGGTTAGGTTAGGTTAGGTTAGGTTAGGTTAGGTTAGGTTAGGTTAGGTTAGGTTAGGTTAGGTTAGGTTAGGTTAGGTTAGGTTAGGTTAGG